TAAAATATCGAAAAATATACAGCGCGCGAATTTTAAATGAGAATTTCCGAAAACTTTTCGGTCACAATGTAAGTTATACATATTTTATTAAGGCGAACTAACAATTTATGTCACACATTCGTGATTTTCAAATAAGTACCGATCTACCACATCTGCAGACCAAACACCGCATCATGCAGACACTTTTTGGCAGTAACTTCTGGGTTGTCACTAATTTTACAACTATGTTTATTGATATATCTACTATGCTGTTAAATCGGGACTATGGAATTGATAATCATTTATAAGTGAGAAAAGATCGAAGCAAATAAATCGAAACTATAAAGAATCGATGTGAATGCTTATATGATGGAAATGTAGCAGATAAAGGTCTAAAAAGCCAGAATTTTTGTACTACAGTGTAATACGAAAAACGTTTCGATCGGGAAGGTGTATTACTGCAGTTAATGTAATATTAATTGTAACATTTTCGCTACCCGATATTAAAAGAATTTTAGTTATGGTATTTTGAAATAGTGACCTATAATGATATGGTAGGTATATTTAATAGTTTTGAAACAAAATTATAAGACATTCGAGTTTTAAAATTGAGGAATATAGTAACTTAAAACGGGCACAATAAAAGTATTAACGATATCATAAGTTCAAATTTTATAAAAACGCTATAAAATTAGGATATAAAATATCGGAAATAAATAATAAAATAGTAAGAGATTAAGGCAAGTTCTAATAATTGAAATTTATATAAAATAAATATAGATACATTTTAAAAAATACTTATTTAAATTGCAAGTACTTTCTTAACACACAATATAGACTTGAAATGTATCTAAAGATATGCGTCATTCGAAGAACTCACTTAAGATAATATTTGTGTGATTATAATTAATTTTATCTTAAGAACACAAAAAACCTGTTAATTGGATGTAGCGTATAGAATTTGATAATTCATACTTGAGATATGCCCATTAAAAAAACGTACAACTAAAACGAACGAAATTTGAGTAGTCGAGAGCTCCACAACGGCCAGAGCACGTCATGCTTTATCGGCCGTAGCAAATACATGAAATTATTTGGTCGAACTGTTGACGTCTGAGCACACCGTAGAATTGTGAAGAATAATTAAAAATTGCATTATTTTTCTTTATTCTATTTTTTTTAAATAATTTTTTAAAGAATAAAAATACGTATCCGTAGTGTGGAATTTAATACTTACACACATACAGTTAACTATATGATATGCTTAAACGATATTATCGTATAAGTCGTTAGTTGAGTACGAAAGAGGAATTACGCCGCAATACTTGAAACCGCAAGAAGTGCAAATCCCACATGTACAGTGTAGTTTTTGCAACAAAAAAAAAAAAAAAAATAATAATATGAAATGAAAACATTATTTAATGAATAATAAAAATTGTATTATTGTGTTATTGAGTAAAACAAACAAGTGAAAATTGATAAAGCGAAAAGAGTCTAATAAATTTTATACATAACAATGCAATCGGTTAGTAGCCCAAGTCCACCAAGTACTCCGCACATTTTGCTCAGTGCTGCAGGCAACGCCGCCAATGAGAAACGCAATAAAACGATTATGAATTGTTTTCGGGATCGAACGCCGAGTTACACGCGCCCCAATTATTATAATCAAAATCAACGCCAGCCACAGCAACGTATTTATGAACAAAGCGGTACTGGCAGCAGTAGCGGTAGTGGTCGACCGGAAGCTGTTGTTTTTCTCAAAGAGTTACGTTCAAGTCCAAATAAATTAACCTTACTCAAGAGTTCAAGTACTCGCGATCTCAGTCGTCTTGTGGACGAAGTAACTATTGTGAATTTTAATAGTAACGGGAGTGTTGGTATGTCAACTTCATCCTCTTCCTCTTCATCGAATCACAAAAACACCAGTCATACAAATACTGGAATAAAAAATCTGCAAGATTTAGAGAAACGGTTTTCACAGTTAGAAAAGGATTTTCAGGAACAAAAGGATTATACAAAGTGTTTGGAAACACAAATTCAAGATTTAAAGAAACGAGTTGATGAGTTAACAGAAGTGAAACAAGTAGAGAAGCGAAAAAAATCAGCGAGTGTACGTAAGAACGTTAGCAATCTAAATACAAGTGTACAACCTTCCCGATTTAATGCGTGGTTACGTCTGACGAATTTATGGAAACATCGACCAAGTATTGAATCCTTAAAACAGAAAAATATTTACAATGGTAAGTAGAATAAATTTTTTCAAGAATCTAAATATTTTATATTTTATGTAATGTGAATGCTTAAAAATATAACTTGAAACTGAAATCTCAAAATTTGGAAATATCTCAAAAATACGGATGTATGTAAAAAGTTTTTAAAGTTTTCAATATTATAAATATTAAATTTTTTTTACAAGTTTTGAAGATATTACAAAACTATGTTAAAGACAAATATATATGTATATTAAAAACATATTTTATATATATATATATAATTATATACATAAATATCATGGACTATCGGATTTATTCGATTTTTAAACTGAATTATGTATGGCGCAACTCAAAGTAAAGTCAATCCAAATAAAAAGTATTTACTTTGATTAATGTATGAGTTTTATTATCAGTAACAATATCAAATAAATTATTTGTTAGATATAAAGGCATTTGCATTTAAAGCATATGAGTGCAATGAATACTCATAACTTAGAATTTTTAGGAACTAGAGTGTGCAGAAATTGGAATCTAATTTTGTTATGCATTGAATGCTCTGATATTAAAACTTATGACTCTAATTTCAAAAAGTTTAATACTTTTTGAGCATATAACCAATCTTTTCGACGTAGACGTAACGACATCGGTATTTTCCATAAAGAACATAACCAATTTTTCGGACCCACATAATATCGCTTTATTAAAAAGGAGTCTAATACAACAACAAACATCGTTGAATACTATATGCAAAACAAAAATTTACAATAATTGTTTAAAAAAAATAATTAAATAACATTTTTGAATTAATTTTGTAACTTTTTACTTTTCATGAGAAGTTAAACCATACATACAGTTTGTAAATACACAAAAAAAAATTCAAGATTAAAAAGAGAAAAAACTTCGATTATATATCTTATTTATAGCAATGTTATTATAATATATACCATATAGTTCCACTACTCTTTTGGTATTAAAACTAGTGTGCTATATTATATCATAAAGGTTAACAAGTTCACCAATTAAAATAAATTATATTTTTTTAAAAACCAATAAAAATAAACATCATTGATACACCATAATTATTATGATGGTAGTTTTGAACATTAAAAGTATTGAAGTACTCATATAAGCCTAGCGTCAAAACCATTAAGATATTTATCTCAATCACATCTAATAAACTATCGAATTTTATGATATACCTCATAAGTTCTATGAAGTTGAATTAAATCTAATATGTAATTATATTTTGAAATTCCCAAAATGTTATTTTAAAAGTTTTTAATAAAGAGATTTTTCAAACAGTAGTGAACCACAACAACAAAAATTGTTTCATATTATTTCAATTAATTGATTTCTTCGCTGACCATACAGCGAGTATTACCAAATACTCATCAACAGTGGTATAGGAAATAATTCTTATATTTAATTATTCGTAAATAATTTTTTAGACCACAAATACCAGAAATAGAACTCGTACCCTGCCAAATTTGAAGCTCAGAATCAGCACACCTTAACCAACTGACTCAAAGCCGTACTTGACTTTTATGTGCGCACATTTTTCTGGAGTTTTTTTAATTGGCTGTGAAAGTTTTATTAACAAATATTTTTAATGTTAGTATCGCATAAAACAAAAAAAAACAATTGACCCCTTGATCTTATTAGTTAACGAATTCATTATATGAATAATCTTGCTTAACAATAATTGACATTTTAATAAATTCAGAAATAGCAAATTAAAATTAAGCAATATAGGAAGTTTTCTAAATATTTTTTATTAAAAAAAAAATTATAGTTTAAAAAATTGTTATATATGTTTGAAATTTAAAGGAAAACATATTCACTTATACAATTATTTTTTAAAAAAAATTTAAATACTCGACGTTTCGTGGATTGTTTCTCCGTTTCTTTAGAAGCAAATTAAATTTTGTTCCTTAGAAGACTTTCTTAAAGCGCATAAAAATTATAAATCAACTAATTGTGAAAAGTATTAGAAGTACCTATATTTTTGAACACGAAAAACCATGCTTTCTGACATGACACATCAAATAGGCCTACATTTGATATGTAGCACATAATTATGTGATTATTAATAAATAGAAAGATCCATAGGTATCTCCTATATCTATATATGTTCATAAGTGATTAAAAGAAATCATAAGTTAGTATATTTTCACTTATCTATTGTATTCAATAGATATGACATCAAATTAACCAATATCTGAAATGTAGCACATGATTATATGATTGTAATAATTAAAAAGGTCCATAGATATTTTATATCTCTCTAAAGATAAATCTCTTAAGAAAAATCTTAAGTTAATAAACCATATCTTTGGTAAACATGAATTTTATTTTAAAATTAAAGACAAAATATTTCAATTGAAAAATACAATTAAACTGGTCACTAAAATGGATGCAGACAAATGTGAGGAAGTTGGCTAATTGTTGAGATACACCGCATTTATATCAAGTCTTATAGTGAGAAATCATGCAAGGTTAATGAATATTTCTTATACACAGATGATGCCACAGATAAGGAAAACTCTTAACATTTTCTTTGACATTATCCAGCACGTATGAAACATAGAATAAGCAAAGTAGAGACTTACATTCTAGAGAATCTTAGTCACTCACAAGAGTTCTTTTTCAAAACTATATCGGAGTTCCAAATAATTTAAAATTCTTAGAGTTTTACACGCATTACAATTTTATACACCCTTAAGTTTTATAGGGCAACACACTTAAGTGTATTCTCAGAATATTCGTAATAACCTAATCATAATAGAATCCACACTAATATAATATATTTTAATGGAAAAATCTTATTTCGCAATACTTTTAATTCTTAATAAAATTAATCTACTTTTAAAATTTAAGGAAACTAATTTACTTTTTCGAAGAGAAGTATAAGATTCACTTTCATATTTTTAATTACTTTAAATTCGCATTTATCATAAAACTCCTAATGAAAAAAATTATCCACAAAAGTTTAGCATTGTAGAAAAATTATGTTTTGAATGGAGTTTTATGTTACCTTTTCAGCCGAGTTGCGATGTAGTACTAAGCTTTACGTGGAATATTTTTTCATAACTTTATATTTTATTCATTATTTCTAGATTTAAAAAGATTGGATGTTTTTAATAATTCTTTTAAGAAAAATGGTTAAGTGCAGATGTTGATTTCATTACCAAATGTTACTCAATTCTCAATTCTAATTCCAAAATATATTTTTATGCAACTTATCAAAACATAACACATTCATTCAAATTAATATGAAAGAAAAATGGGTTTAATACCAATATATAGGTATATTCAGTATAAATTAAATTCTACGAAAAGATATCGATATTAAAGTAAGCTCAGTTTGATGTATGAATAAGAATGAAGTATACATAATTTAAAAAAATAAATTTTTCAAGTTGAATCATTAATTAAATAAAAGTTATGCTAAGCATGCCATTATTAATGATTCATTCAAAGTACTCGTATATCCCCAAATTTATTGTATATTTAACCATTGAAATGCGTTGGAGACTTTTATGGCATGATTTCATCGTACTTTAAAAATGAAAAAAAAAAATCCTTTTAAAAGATCATTTAAAAATGTAAATAATATGAGTATTATGAATATTATATTAATTTTTATTCTTATTCACAATTACGGTGTAGCACCATTTAAAGAAAATTTTTAATATGTTCTTATATTCTACTATATTCTTTATAATATAAATATAATTTCTTGTTGTAGTCCAAGAAGTTTTAATTGATATTTAGGTCGGACAATTCATCAATAATTACACTGGTCAACAAAGATTTTATCCTAGAGACGTTGTTAAGAGATCCTAGACGTGTTTTTCGTGCTGATTCCGAATCTGTATTTAGATTCTTTCTATCACGTCTAGATTCTTCAAAACAGTTGAATGTATATTTTTGCTATAAAGTCGTAATTTACCTACTGCTCAAAAAGTATCCGGATTTTGTTGTTTGTTAACTACTTTTTAAGTAATAGACCTTTTTCAAAAATTTTTTTTTTGTTATGTTTGTACACCTTTTCTTGACATATGATACAAATTTCAGCGCCATCTGACAATTAGTTTGTTTACAGCAGCTGTTAATGTGAGACTACCTCAAGTGCATTTAGCGATTTTTACTATGGAAAAATTCTTGTTATACGCGATTTTTTGACCAAACACGGCACCACTCTCATCGCTCAGGCACCATATTCGCCAGATCTGGATCCGTGTGAGTTTTTTCTGTTCCCGAAACTCAAATTGCTCCTTCGTGGTAAGAGTCGATTGAATCGGTAAAAGAAAATTCGCCGAAGGAACTAAAAGCCATACCTTCACGGGCCTTTGAAAAGTGTATGAAAGATTGGGTTAAGCGTTGGGTATTTCATTTATATATGATATATATAGTATACATTATTTTCGTGATATAAATAATAATATTACGAATTAATAAATCTGATGGACCTCATCTTATAACGCAAGACGATTTAAACGATCTAGTGCGCGATTTAAAGTTGTGCAAAAAGAAGAGTGAAATCTTAGGATCACGATTAAAGGGTTGGAAATTGTTGGATCCAAAAAATAAAATTTCTATGTATCGATCTCGCCATGACGAATTTAAATTATTCTTTTCTCAAGAAAACAACCTTATTTTTTGCAATGATGTTCTATCTGTTATGGATATTCTTAATTTTGAATACAACGATGATGATTGGCGTTTGTTCATTGATTCTTCTAAGGTCAGTTTAAAGGTTGTTCTCTTACATAATGGAAATGAAATTCCCTCAATACCGTTAGCCCATGGAACTGATATGAAAGAAACTTACGAGAATATGCAGTTTTTCTTAAAAAAAATTCATTACGAAAGATATAAGTGGAAAATTTGTGGTGACCTAAAAGTTATTGCAATTTTACTAGGCTTACAACTTGGTTACACGAAATATTGTTGCTTCATCTGCGAGTGGGATAGCAGAGACAGAAAATTGCATTACTTCAAAAAAAAGATTGGCCACAACGTAAAGCACTCGTTCCTGGAATCAAAAATGTCCTCTTCCAGCCTTTGGTCGATCCTAAAAATATTCTTTTGCCACCTCTGCACATTAAATTAGGACTTTTTAAAAATTTTGTTAAAGCCATGGATAAAAATGGTGATGCTTTTACTTATTTGAAGCAAAAATTTCCTAAAATAAGTGAGGCAAAGATTAAGGAAGGTATTTTTATTGGGCCACAGATTAGAGAACTGCTGAAGGACTCGGAATTTCAACAGCAATTGAGTTCAACAGAAATTAAAGCGTGGAACTCATTCAAAAATGTAGTTGAGCATTTTTTAGGAAATATGTTGGCTGAAAATTATCGCGATCTGGTGGCTAATCTAATTGATTCATACCAAAAAATGGGCTGCAATATGTCTTTAAAACTTCACTTCCTACACCCCTTGAATCACCCGTTAATCTGGTTGTCTAAAGAAAACTAGACGTGATAGAAAAAATCTAAGTCCAGATTTGGAATCAGCACGCAAAATACCTCTAGGATCACTCAATAACATATCTAGGATAAAAAAAAAATTTTTTTTTGTTGACCTGTGTTATTATTGGTGTTATATACAAACAAGAAATCAAGGTAGATATATTGTTACTAGAGCTTTATAGATTTTTTGATTTACTGATTTAAGATGTTTGAAGCTTAGATCATTTTAAGAGGTTCGAGGTTTTGGAGTGTACTTTAACATTTAACACAGCGACCTGTTCTATACAGTTTCAAGCATTTGCTGTTGTATATATTTCTATAAAACATCATAGAGCAGACTAACATTTTCAAAGAGCAGACTAATTTTCATTCCAAATACGAATATACCTGAACTGATTCAAAATTTTAAAATACTAATTGCTTAAAATTTCCAAAAGCTTTAGCGAACATTTTTATGATTTTAAATGCAATATGAATGAGTCCATCAATTAACAATATATTTAACTTGTTTTAATTATACATAATCTAGACGATTATATCCATAACATAATAAAGCATTAATTTAAAAAAATTAATAACGGATTTAATTTTGTTTAAAATTAAAATCTTTGAACTCGGAAACATAACAAATTACTATTATTAGTTAGACTTTTATGATGGGAGTGCTTTTCATTGTAGAAGTTGAAACTTACAGGAAAAAGAAACGATAACGCATTTTATCTGGAAAATGAATAAGATTGATTGAGATCAGTGAAAATTTAACTGCTGCCCTACCAGTGCAACCAACCAACCATTATGAAGAAAAAATAGTACAATAACAGACTTAGTCATTTCTTTCCAAATTGCAACACAACAGCCAACAAAAATGCTGTTAGAACAATACTACCCAAAAAAAATCTATTTAAATATTGAAAATGTTTAACATTCCCACATTCATTCTGTGTGTGAATTTTTTTTGGTGCTATTACCCAAAATTTTTTTATTTTTTGATGCTGTTAGCTGTTTCTCTAACTTAATATATATAACATCTTTCAGCTTATTTGTGCTAATTTTATTATAAATTTTTTAAAGTCGGTTTTGTTTTTTAGGATTTTTTGTAAACCAAAATACGAAATAATATACAAATAAATAAAAGCAAAAATCCTAAAAGTCAAAACTGACTTACTTGTGTTGCTGGGATCAATGAAGTTAAATAATTAACTACATAATAGATGTGAATTCAATTTAGTAATGTAATAATATGCAAAGTAACAAAGTAATGTTAAGGATTATTCTCTACTCTAAAAAATAAATTGAAAATAAACGAAAAATTTTAACATAAATAAATAATTAAATGATTATAGAATTCTTATTTGTAGTGTTAAAAATGTTCATATAAAGACCTTCTACATTAACTTCTTTTTTGAATGATTATAACGAGGTTTCAATGTAGTTAGCTGGTAACTTAGCTGTTGTTTATTTTAATGTATTTTATTTGGGATAAGTTCAACACTATCGGAAATGTGGAAACGAGGGTGTTTATTTTGTGGTTGATATGAATTTATGTGGTTACTAAATTGTGAATGTGTAGAAAATTATATTATCATTACAAATATGTGGTCTCTTGCTATTTTTATTGAAATGTTTAGTTATACAAGCTCATTAAACCAAATCTAATTTTCTTAAATGACAAGTTAGTATATTATTTTTTTAATAATGTGTGCTTAATATAAAGAATCACTATAAATTGTAGTTTTATATTAAAAATAAATATTTTGTAATACAGCCCTCTATGAGTCACGATACTGTATAGCACAGATCTTCTTGTTATATACGTCATTTTTACGTTATGTTTTCTGTTTTGCAACTTAAGTTATGATTTGATATAGAGCTGTAATTATAGGTCGATTAGAAAAGTATTATTGAAATTTGCTTCAGTACTAATTTTTATATGTCTTCAATTTTTAAACTTAACATATATTTCAAAACAAAAGTAATTATTTGATATACCAATAAAACTATAAATATATATATATAACTCAACATTTTAGAAATTATAAAATATTAAATAAATATATTGTTAACTCGGGGGTAACGAGACAAAATATTAAAAAACATATGGCCAGTTTTAGCAAATTAAACATATATTTGTATATATATACATACATATCTATAAGAAAACGGCTTATATGTAATGAATTGTATTCATCAAAGATGGACGAAATGACGAGGCAGTAATGGACTTGTGCACCAAAACCGATTTGAGCTCAAACTGTGATATCACAGACTAACACTGTTCATATGCAAATCAGAAAAACCCACCAAAGAAACGCTGTGGTCTACGTACCAAGAATGCTTAAAAGCACGACTCTCTCATTTAAATGAAAGTGAATTAACCTGACAAGGGTGTACCTGCGCCAATCCCGCTGTCATTTCAGAATGACAGCTCTGTCATGTCGATAAGAAAATGTGCCCCGAAGATCTTAAATCTTTTCCTAGTCAATGATGGACACTGACACAAGATATGGAGTACAGTATCTTCGGGGCCACAACCCCGACAAATGTCATTATAGCATTATAGTCATTAAGTAGTTTAGCAATTTTGTCAGTTTTGAAGTAAAGAAAAAAATTTCATTACCATACAAACTAGACATTATATATATTTATCGATTTTTCTTTAAACGGTTCTTATTAATATTTGGACACCAAAACCAATTTACTATAGCCTAAAATATAAGTTAAAACCGCTTTTTAAAAAAAAATTATTTTAAATTATAATATATAAGTATTCTCAAATCTTGAAAATTAAAACTAAAAAAAAGACAAAGTATTTACCTTTAAATCTCTGTCTTTTTCAGACGAACCTTGTTTTGATACGGAAATAGAAATGGTCCTAAAACATGAAATACACAAAACAGTGCCAAAAATTGTTGTAGATTGCTGTGATATTGTATATGAAAAATATCGTGAATCGTCGGTACCGGTTGAAGGAATATATAGACAGTGTGGCGATTATAATAAAATACAAACTTTGCGATTTCGTATTGATGGCAATGATTACGAATCGCTTCGGCAACCGAATATTGATATTCATACAGTGACAGGAGTATTGAAGTTGTTTTTACGTGAAATTAAGAGTCCTTTGATAAGTTCAAATGAAGCAAAAACATTTATTGGAAAACCAAATCAATGGTGTAAGTACAGTTTAAACAAATTTATACCTAAATAAATAAGAAACAATATTGAATATAAATAAAATTTTAAATAAAATTTTGTTTATAATAAAATATTAACAGAATTATTTAAATAATAATTAAAATGATAAAATTATTCATAATAAATAATTTTGCATGTCATATATGTTCATTAGAATCTTCTTTCAGTTGTTATCAATTGTAATGAAGATAATACAAGGTCTAGAAAATTGATTTACATAAAGAATTCAAAATTAAGAAAGTCAAATAAAGAAAGTCAAAATTCCAAGAACAATCAATAAAATTACGGGTATTTATAAATAAATTTAAATAAGTATTATAAAATACTTGTAGTTAGTATCATTAGTATATTATAGTTTTATAAGTATAAGTATAGTATAAGTATTAGTTTTTTTACCGGACTTAATGTTGATGATCGATTTTATGTTACTTTAAATAATACCAAAAAATATATACATAAATGAAAATACCAATTTGTTAATTTTAAACAAAAATTATTGTTTATTTATTTATAATATATATTTCGATCTAATATAAAAAAATATGTAAATATTTAAATTGGTGTTTTTATTTAATTACTTTTTATATTATTTAAATTAAGAGAGTAATATATGATAATATAATATATATTATATATTATAATATAATATAATATAATACTACAAAACAAAATCTAGAATTCGACAAAAAAAGAAATACTTATAAACAATTATTTATACATATATATAAAAATATAAATTTATTTATATTTAAACTTAATATTGTTCTATTTCTTGCATTATCTATAGTTAACCATTAATTTTATTGCCAAATTAATGTTTTTTACATTTTCTTTATTATGTTTATATTTTACTTAAGAATATTATGTATTTGTTAGTGGGTTACAAAGAAGTAAAATTTATTTTGTCATTTTTTTAATTTAATTTAATTTAATTTATTTATTTTAAAAAATATTGATTTTTTCCATCTTTATTTTTCAGTATTAACTAATTTACACACCAAAATTGAAATCCTTAAAAGACTGATCCGATCATTACCAGAAGTAAATCGTGATACAATGGAGTATTTATTTACACATTTTAATAAGTACGTTAAGAATTTAACAATATTATAGGTTATACTGTGCTCCTAGGTATCCACTTAGAGCTTCCAAGTTTATTTACAAATTGTAAAATTAAATAATTGTAAACAAAATGCTTTACAAAATAAGATACATATAAAAAATCTTCTCGGCTAATATTTTAATATTTAATATCTTTAACTAAATTTAATAATTAATATAACTTAACATTATAGTTTGATATTATTTTGTTTTAGATTAACTAAGGTTCCGTTGCAACAAATCAGTGCAGAGACCTTATCACTTTCAGTGACACCATCAATATTTCATACAGTACAAGGAGCACAAACTCAAGATATACAAGTTCTACTTAAAGAGAGTGAAATTCTAGCGGATTGTGTAAAAATCATGATTGAATACCAAAGTCGTATATTCGAGTAAGTTTATAGATACTAGCTATAAGTTGTTTTATTTATATACCTGTATATACATATGTTAATAAACTATATTTATTTAGATGCACGGCTGATCGGAGACAACGTCGACTTAATGTACGGAGTTTAAGAAAGACGCTTTCGCATCCCGATTTAATTTTTCAAAATTTATTTTAAGTATAGGACTAAAATAAAAAAAAATATTTATTTTATATTTAAATCCAGAAAATTATTTAATAAAGTAATCATTTCCAATTTTGTAATACTCTATATTTTAATCAGCATTTACATTATTTAATATAATCATAGTAATTTAAGAGTATGCCAGTAAAACGTATTAAATATATTTTAGGCATTTTCGTTCGATAATCGTGTGTTTGTAATTAAATTTACACAATAAAAAAAATTTACTTGAAAATATATTTATTTATTAACAATATTTGTGGTGGTGTAAAAGTATAATACAAAACTTTAATAATTAAAATTTACCTTAACTTTGAAGTTGATTTAATCTTTGACATGTTGCTTTGCCCACTTCCTGTATATTCTCCATTTGCAATAAGTCTCGTTCACCATATTTCCAAGATTCCTCGTAGGCGTAAAGTATGCTGGTGTCGTATATCATAATGTTGCATTTAGCTAATGCTAAAATGCAGTTGCGTAAACGAGAAATTGTACGCAAATCTGATAGCGGTGTGATTTCACTTAGATTTTGTGTAAAACCACCATCGCCACCATCTTGAATGATTGATGTGGGTTGTATCCATATGTAGCCATTATTGCCCAATATAATTGATGCACCACATGATAAGTTGTGAAAATGTGCTTTACATCTTTTCACCAAAGATGGATACACTTTAACAAGCACTCCTTGAGATAGTTTTCCATATTTCAAAGAACGAGTATATAATGAAAGTGAACCTTCTTCAAAAATATTTTGTACTTCTGCTGAAACTAAATCGCCTTCTTGTAAATATTTTCTCATCATATGTTCATCTTCTGCTGAACGTCGACGCAATTCACCACCTGGTAGATTGACTGATGATATCAATAGAACAGAATCGACACTTGAGTTGGTGTCCAATTTCCAACGTTTTTGTTGTACTTCAGTTACTCGTGCTACCACAACGTCACCAATTTCACCAACATATCTGGATTTTCGTGGTCTAATAGAAATTAATCTATTAACTCGCTCTAAAACACCTGCTACTGATGATTTTATATCGTTCTCCTCATTGTATGTGCCATGTCCTCTCATAAATCCAGACTCAGATACAACAATCTCACCAGGTGTATATATGCGTGGAACTTTTCCAGTACGTTTTTTAGTTTTTGATTCATCACAAACATCAATTGCTAAACGTATTATTACATTACTACCCTCTTCCATTCTGAATTAAATCAAATATCAGATAAACAAACGTGACATATAACTATACACGTTCCCGGCTGTATTAGGTATGTTCAATGGAGAACAATAATAATGTATATAATTCACAATAATTAAATACTGTACTCTTATTAGATCTGTTTGAGTAAAAAAATAGTAAAAGTTATTTGAATTATATTACTTTCCGCTTCAGTATGCAATAAATTATAAAGTAAAAAGTTGTAATAGCGAACAAAATTGATTTGAATTTTAATTGTAAAATTATGACTATTTATAAGTAATAAAGTGAAGAAGACTTTATCTAATATGACTTGTCTCTAATATGATGACAAGCGTAAACTATGTTTTTTGGGATTTATTTGTGTTGAAATAAAAATTGATAGCTAAAATTTCATAATTAACATAAAACAACACTAACCTAATATGTTATATATATCAGAAAAGTATATCGGAAAATTGTCAGAAAAGTTTAAAGTATAGTGTCTGATCGTATCTCATACTTGATTTTAGAATTACACTCGTAAATAAAAATGTTAAACATTACAGTAATATTTTGTTTCAGATTATACGAATGACAAATATTTTGAATTACAAATTATATATAAACTTAATTTTGTATTGCAATTGAATTATAAATTTCGGTGGCGGCTTTTGTATGGAACCGGATTGTAATTTTAGCTTCATTTTATAAAGAAGTGAATCGAAACAAATGAGCTGCATATGGGATAAATTAGGAAAGAGAATTTTATATGCGTTAGTAAAAAATTGAGAAAAATTGAGCAAAAATCTCCTCAAAATTCTAGCCCGTAGCTACTTAACTAGGCATCTCAACCTTCCCCCTAATATTTTTCCACATTAAATTCACTATTCATATTCTTAATAATAATAAGAAGACGATATTTTAAATTCTGGCCCTTTATCTGAATAACATTATTTGCGTTTCTCCTGTTATCATGTTCTACAATCGTGGTTACAATTACTCCTTGGTCTGAGTTGACTCTTCGTTCTCCATTACTACTTAGCAACAACATCTTTTTCACTCATATACAATTTTGACTTTAAGTGTGTTTTTGGCTTGATTACTAGAATAGGGCATCAGTATTCAATTTATCCATTTAGCATTCTTTAGAGGTAATTTTAGTAGGTTCAAGTCCGAAAAAATATATAGTACAATTGATATTTGATTACTGTTTTATTCTCATGAAAACATTTTAGATTGCACCAAAAAATCATGAATGAACGAAAGTTCATTTTTATTAATTATTTATTATTTCTTAATTTGAAGAAATGAAAAAATGCATACATAGCCTCTTAGAATATGCATACAAATATACGGTTATCATTAAAATTTAGTTAAATTTATTTAATAAATTTAATAACAAAACATTAGCTACGGTTATAATGTTGTTATTATATTTAAATAACCAAATTTTTTTGAAATACGGTCTTTGATTAAGTAAGAAAGAAATTCGTTTCATATCGTTAATTTATCTTTCCACTATTGGTTACAGCTCGTGCAATATGCTCATATATTTTATCGTGAGTGGATTTTCGAATCTCAGTCATATGATCAATTAAATTCTCACTTACACTGTCATGCAGCATATTTGAAAAAAGCTCTTTTATGAAATAATTAGCTGTTTGTGTTTTAAATTTTGAACAAAAGCTACCTTTTGCTACCTTTTGTTGTTACATGCACATGAAATCTATTGTGAATTGCCACAGCTTTTGTTTGTATCTTTGATTTCACTAAATGATATTCAGCGACGAGTGGGGAAAAGTGAAATTACAGGTTTATATTTTAAATTTAATTAGCATCAATAAGTTGATTACGAGTTAAAACGTAAAATATTTTATATTTGCAGTCTACCTGAAACATCACGGTTTTTAGTGAAAAATATTTCGAAAAACGTATTTCAATATGAAGCACAATAAATTATATTGTGTTTTGTTTGCTTTGTGCTTAGTGACGCATAGTATTGTTTTGGCAAGTGCCAGCCGTACAAAAGGCAGTAATCGCAAAACATCATCTAATAGTCATGTGACGAGACCAACTCACTCTACAAACACTGGCAATTCTCATTCAGATTTGGCAAAATTAAGTTATTCGAATTATAACTCACAACCAAATCGACCAGCAAACACAGGCACAGCTTCTCATACTCCTGCACCAATTGGTTGGAATGTACCAAATAAACAAGGACCGCCACCAGCGTATTCAGCTAATAATCCTGTTGGAGGAGCAAAAACGAATATACATGAGGCACCACCTAATTACGGAGCAAGTGGAACAAACGTACATACACCAATAACTGCTACAAATGCACATAGTGTACAATCTAGTTATCCAGGACAGCATGGAGCTAGCTACCCAGTACAGCAAGGAGCTACTTATCATAGTCCTGGATCTCTTCCTCCTGGTGCAACTTATTATCCTGGTGGACATGTGCCACAAGGTGTGCCTGCTGGTTACCCAGCAGGTTCAGCATATCCTGGAGGTCATATGCCAGTAGGTGGTGGTAGTTATTATCCTGCCGGTGGACACGTACCTCAAGGCGCAACATACTATCCAGCTGGTGGTGTGCCAGCTGGTGCAACTTATATACCAGCAGGTGCATCTCTACCACCGGGTGCTACTTACTACCCACAACAGCCGCAATCATCATCTTCTGGTTTAGGTTTTGGTAAGTAAAAGTTTTATATGAAAAATATAAAAATGGTATAACATAATATGTTTATAGGTTCAGGTTTAGCCGCAGGTGCTATTGGAGGAGCTATACTTGGTCATGTTTTAACTCCAACTGAAACCAGAGTTGTAGAACATGCACCAGCTCAGAGTGGAAGTGCTGGTGGCGATGGTAAAATAATTATTATAAATAATGGTCAACCAGTTACAGCAACTCAAGCTGCTAATGGAACTACTATAATAACAACAAATGGAGAAACAGCACAACCACAAGCTCCTTCAATGAATGCACCACTTGCACCTATGGCACCTATGGCACCAGCAGTCAATGGTTCTGAACCAGCTCCTGTTGCCGTTAATGGTTCACAGCCGCTTCCACAAGAGCCTCCAGCAGGTGGAATTATATGCGTGCCTGTACGTGTTAATGAAACTGACCCAGCTGATAGTTCTAAAATGATTGAGGTTGAAAAAGTTGCTTGCTATCCAGCTCCACCACCACCACCACCACCTGCAGTTGATGCCAATGTTAATGGAACAGTACCATTGGCTCCAATGAATCCGATTCCAAATCAATCTCAACAAATACAACAAACTCCAACTCAGGCTACCCTATTACCACAAGATGCAAACGTACACAAGAGTGGTGTTAATTCTTTATACAACTATATTAGCTTTGCTACTTTGATAGTGAGCTTGTTAGTGAGTTTTGGTTTTAAATAAGCCAACTTAAAATGTTTTTAAAAAAATATTATAATCTCTTAACCATTATTCGAATGAGAATTTAACATTTCCAATTTTATTATTCTAACTCATGTTTTAGCAGTTTTTTTCCGTCCCATAAGTTTATGTATTGTTTTTTGTTGCTGAATTTATAAGTATTAAAATTATTATAAATAATATGTAAAAAATTGATTGTGATGTTTAGCACCTTAAAATTCGTAAAAATCGAATGTAAATAACTTTATAGAATCTCTAAGGGAATCAGATTGACTATTGTAATAGAGTGAATTGTATTGTTTACCTCATATGATATTAAGCTTACCATATATACCTATATTTTACTAAAGTAAATTTTGATTCAATTTCGTGATAGTACACTTATATATTTTATTAATGTTAATAAAGTTCTTCGCAGCACGCAAACAATTTTGTGTTTTTATTTGATTGGCGAAACAAATCGTAATTAAATGGAGAGAAAATTTAGTAATAAATGTATTATAATTAACATTGCATTTCAAATAATTGTCATCTGCGGAAACAGGTTATGACTTGTGTTAACAAGTTTTTTTACATTCGTCATCTTTTATTTTTGTTGTCTCAATTAGTTGTGGAGAACACCAGCGTATAAGTCGGTCTAAAACAGTAGCCCCTCTCCTGTTTCCGGATTGTCTGGTGCCGTGAAAAAGGTTTTGTTGATTCGTTGATTTTCTACAACCATTGTTTATAAACAGATTGCTAGCAGCATAGCGTAAATTCATCTTAGAGTTCTTGATGACTTCTTCATCTCTTGCAAAAACAGCACCATTAAATGCATACTCGGAAGTTTTGCTAATCAGCTCGAAAGTCTGGTTAACGTCATCATCTTTATAAAGATAAACGCTCAAGATCGGTCCAAATATTTCTTTCGTCATTAGTGGATCAAATGGTTTTTTGCACACAATTACAGTAGGTTCCACATAGTATCCAATTCCACTGCTATATCCGCCACCATATACAATTTCGTTCTCTTCCTTTTTTTCGGCATCATTAATATAATTTATGATACGTCTGAAAGCAACATCGTTAATAACCGCAGAGGAAAACGTGCTAAAATCAGTTGGATCGCCAATATTTTTTTTGTCAAGCTCTTGTTTCATTGCTTCGCTTATTTCTGCCCATTTAGATTGAGGGGCATAAAGACGTGAACAGGCGGTACAGTGCTGACCTGAATAGATAAATGCAGCATCAATGGTAGCATTAACAACCTTTTTGACGTCAGCACTCTTGTGCACAAAGTGAAAGTTTTTTGCTCCACAAGCGCTCGCCAAACGGGGAAAATTTCTAAAACATCGAATACATGGTCGAATTAAATTCCAAATGGTATTAAATGTTTCAGTTTTTCCTGTAAAGTTGACACCAACAAAATATTCACTTTGCCTTAAGCAGCGTAATAAATATTCATCATTGGTAGGCAAGAAGCTTATAATACCATCGAGTAAACCAGCTTTTTGAAATGCTTGGTATACTATATAACTGGAAAGTAAACAGCTATCCGATGGCTTCCACACGACAGCATTACCCACTAGCGCTGGGAGTGCAGCTAAACCAGCTGATATTGATGTCATATTGAAAGGACCTATAGCAACAACGAATCCGTTCATTGCTCGTACCTTAAAACGGGCATCTATTTCATCTGCATTAAAGTTCTTAAGTTTGCGTTTTGATAATTTAATCAACGCAGTTCCGCTTGCTCGCAGAAAGTTCACTAAGGCGCATGTATCTTCATCTGCCTGACTGCATGTCTTTCCTTGTCCCAATATAATAGCAGCATTTAAACGATGACGGTACTCTTTCTCTAACAAATCTGCAGTTTTCATCCAAATTTCAACGCGTTCCTTCGGCGATACTGTAATCCATTGTTCACGTATGCGCATTGCTGCATCCATAGCTACTTTATAATGTTCCGATTCTGCGTATTGAAATCTTGCCAATATTTGTTTATGCTTGTGTGGCATACGTATTTGTTGTTCCTCACCATTAGCACAGATTTCTTCGCCAGCAATAACAGTTGGTATAACTTGTTTTTTTTGAATAAGCACATTTATTTCATTTCTCAACATGTTGCGGTTAGCAGCGTCATTCTCATAATCCATAGGCTTAGCCCTATTGTAAGCTACTCGACAATTTCGTACAAAAACTTGCATAAAATCGGTTATTCGACTTTTCGCTAAATGTCCTCGAATGCCAAACATTTTGAAATTATATCGACTTCAAAATATATATTTTTAAATTGATAAATAAGTTCTAATAAATGAAATATAAACTATCTCTGAGATTTGTAAACTATATGCGTTTTAAAATATATATTTTTAAATTGATAAATAAGTTTTACTATATGAAATATAAATTATTTTTGACATTTGTAAACGATATGTGTTTTAATATTTTTTTTTTATTAACTAACGAATGTGATTATTGTACATGATTTGAAATAATTAATCCATGTTGTTATTGTTATTATTATGAGAGGGTAATACCAATAACATGTATTTATAGATTTAGGGAATCTGTGAAGGGAAATATTTCTTTATTTCATACTTGTTTCATTTTGCTGAAAACTAGAAATTACTATTAGCTCGGTTTAAAGCAAAACGAATGTTTAAAAAATGGGGAACGCCGATTTGGCAACAGAGTTTAGTATAGTCAGTTATTTTGAACAACTTTTCGAACTAAGTTATATATCAATTTAGTTTAGTTTTTGAGATATTGGAATTTAAAATTGACAGTTGACTATGTTTGTGGGGAAAAAGGTTAAGATAGGAGAATGCAGATAGAATGCTGGTCTGAGATGCTGGTATACAAAAATTAGATCAATCTGAATGAAAGTTTCGGAATTTATTACCTCGATTAGAAGTAACAACAGGTTAATTGGGCACGATTTAGTGTATAGGATAATATGGTGCAGACAACAATTGAATAAACGCGCAACATTAAAGTAATGTTGTACTATACAGTTAAAAGATAAGAATGTTACATATATTTAATGCAGCATATTTTAGTACGGAGGCTTGTTTCAACTGAAGTGGACTAGTCTTACATATTAACAAAACGAGTTGTATTTTTGAAATAATAAATATTTAGTATAAAATGATATATATAATATATGAAATATATATATATAATATAGAAAATATATATATAATGTATAAAAATATATAAAAATAATAAAAAATATTAAGTAGCCGAGTACATTCATTAAATAGAATTTACATTTCGAATAATATGTAGAAGACTTATAAAGTTGCTAAATAGAACTATAGTCGCTACATTGCCTTGTGTTATCAAAGATCATATTAAGGATTTTTCAGATCAAATTATAATTTTTTTTATTTTTATTATTTTTATTATTTAAGCATATTACCTCAACAAACATATTGGTTTCAAATTAAGCATATTAAAATAGTTATACAGTTTATTATTCTTAAACCTTGTAGTGCTTACTAAAAACAAAAATATCATAGCCGGAAGACTAGTTCTGTGTACGACAAATTTTAGTAAATTGAAGTAAACATACCTAAAGTCGATAAATACGTTATATATATCAAGTAGTGCTTATATCAAATAACTGTTGAAAATAGGCAAAAAATAATTTTTTTTTAATATTTTAAGTCTTATAGTATTTCAAAAAAGATTTAGATATTACTACACTCTCCAAGAACTCTAAGTTTAAAATATAAATAATGCAGCCTAAAAATAAATAGAGTCGAAATTTGTTGAATTGATTAAACCAAACAATTTTATTTTGTTTAATTTTTTAAACATGTTTAATTGAATTATTTTAACTAATTATTCAAAAAATTAATTAAAAAATTTTTTATTAATTATTTTTGATTTACTTTGTTTCACAAGTAATGTATTTTGATTAAGTTATTGAAATGCAAGATTTGCATTTTTATTTCTAAGGACACTTATTTTTATTTTATTTTAAACTATTTAAAAAAACGTAAATTATTTATTTAATAAAAAAATATTTGGCAAAATAGTATTAAATGCTATATAATTGCAATTTAAATGCATCAAAGTCGTAAGTAAATTCAATGCAACGGATTGTCGCCTGCTAAACAATGCCATTTCTCATGAAAATGATCTGGTAAACGTATGCAGTCCAAAAATTGTTGTAGACGATTTCCTTTGCTGTTATAACCTATAATAAGACTACCTAAGAAATCATTACTCTTTCCTATATCCTTATCCCACACAGTAATGATTAGCATCTGCTTGGTTAAGTCATGCGGACTTGCCTCAAAATAAAACTCCTCGTTGTAAATGGGATTAAGTGTACGCCATTTAATGCTCGTCTTATATTTCTTATTCTTGTGTGGATCTGGTTTAAGTTGACTACGAAATAAGTATAAAAGTAAATATAATTATTATAGGAAAAATTATTTTTTTTTACATTTTAACAAAGGGATCCGAACTACCGTTGTTGTCCATAGGTATTAAATTTATGCATTGTTTAATATTCACGACTAAAGCCCGTTTCTTTGTGTTATAACACAGTGACACCAAAATTTTACCACGAGTCCATTCTTGTGACATTTCCGCTTCATTCGTGTACTGGTCCTCAACTCCATTTAGAGGTACCGATATACGATATTGGTTAGTATTATGCACCTAGTAGTGTACATGGAATATTTTAAAAAATTTTATAACATTTGTTTAATAAAAAAAAAATAAATATATGTTAAAAAGGCATATTATATAAATAATTAAAAAGGAAATTATATTAATATGGAATATGTTATAATATTATATATTAAATAATATATTAATATAAAAAAATGGAACAACTTACTGTTGATAAAGATACTTTAGCTGCCCCCAGAAAATCATGCCCATATTTATCATCATCAAATATAGTAACATATAATAACGAATTTCCCAGCTCTTCAGGCTCGATTCCAACAAATTGAAGTGTTTCGTTAAACTCCGGATTTCGAGTTTTATGTACTATTTTTGTTCGCTGCCAGCGTGTGTATTTTGTGTTTCCCTCTGGTGTTATAATATTTAATTTACAATATGAATCTGTTAGACCCGCGGCATCCATTGGCGGCAAATCTCGTGCTCTTACCATTGTACAATCTAAAGCATGAAAATTTTCCCGATAGCTTATAGCTATCTCTAACCAACCTAGTAGTGGATCACGACAATGTAAATTGATTTGATTATGTATAGAAAAATTATTAACTGTGCCAGAGTTGCCAGATGAACTATCGCTAATAGACCATGATGAAGATACTGAGCTACGTCGTGTAAAGTTGCTTTCACGTCTTGTAGCCGATGTAATTGTGCCTACAGTTGATGCTGTCGATATGGTATCGAACTCTGGTTGAATAAATTCAGATTTCGAAGTTTGTCGATTGAAAAAGAACGAATTCGAAAGTTTTCGTTCTCCGCCATCGATAAAGCTACGAATCGAACCAAAAGTTCGCATACGAAAGCTATCTCCACGTTGCACTTTCGACTGTTGTATATCATTTCCATCGGTTATTGATGTTGGCGAGACATTAGATGGCACGATTGCATCAATAGAAGTTGGAATTGAATTCACAATTGCCGTATGATTAAAATTGGAAGCACCATCTACAACATCCTCTTCTTCAGAACTGCTGCTGTCATTTACTCTAATGGTTAATTTTTTTACTCTAGGCTTTCGAATCGGCGTGTTGTTGCAACTTTGCGATGTTCTTTGCATCATTCCACTTAACATGGTATTGCCTGTGTGATGTGTCGGTGTGGAACTTGTGCTTGTAGGAATATCGTAATTCGGAAGCCCTTTAAAAAACCATGCACCAGATTTTTTCCACATTTCCCTAGTTTCAGAACAGATTCGACAAAGCCAAATTTCTTTTGTCTTCTCAATGGTGTGAAATCGTATATTAATGTCAACACTACACTTTGCACATACAGGCTTTCTACAATCTTCACATATAATACGGGCGGGACGTAACAAACCAAATGTATCACCACATAAGCGACAACAATTGGGTCCACGATCCATTCTCCCAACACGTTCTTTTATTTTTTCCACACGTTCAACTAAACGTCCAACACGTTGACGCTCCGCAATTTCAATTTCCTCATTTCGTCGAATAACAGATATTATAGCAGCTTGTTCTTCGGGTCTTAAGGGTTCATTTTGTTTTGAACTGCTCCAACCAGTTTTTAGTCTTAAATTTAAATTAAAAATAACAATATAAATATAAACACATTTTTAAAAACTTATTAAAATCATATGTAAAACTATCTATTTTGGGGAAATAATTTTTTTATAAATATATAATATAAAAATTATCTCAAAGTAGAAATATAATTCAATTTTATTCGTTTTTATTAAATAGGTATAGGTTCTAAACACATATTGTGGAGCACTAGGCCAAAAAAACTTATTTCTTGCCTTTTGAGTGTGGTAATCTTAAAAGACACACACGGTCTCTGCAAGAGTAGTGTGGGAATCTAAAGCATTAAAGACACAGCCTCCATTTTGTAATCCCTATGGAAGATCATCTCCACTATTGTTATTATTAACCTTAGGTACTATCCTGTTTAAACTATCCTGTTAGTAACTTGTGATATAAACAAGTTACTAAACCAACAGAAAAACAATGTGATATACATAATTACATTTATATATAAAAAATTATTTTTTCACCTCTCTCTCTATAAAATCGTAGGTCAGATACTTTTTTATAAAATTCAGTCAAGAGAAATAAAAGATTTAAGATAACACAAATATTAAAGTTCATATTATTATTATTGAGTTTTTCTACTTCTGCTATAGTTTATCTTTACCACAAATGCAGTTTCAATCAATTTTCGACTTAAAACTAAAATTCAGATCTTTAATTCGTGTGTAAAATCTATAGGTCTCTACAGAGGAGAAAATTTGTTAATATCTAAATCGATTTCAAGATTACTCTCAACTTTTAAAAATACGATGTATGTAATAATGAGAATCGGATGTTCATGAACTATCTTAAATATGCATAACAAGACTCCAGTCCATTGAACTGTATAATATGTACCCTCATAAGGTTGATTAAACATATTTATTTATTGGAATTCTAAGTTTATTATAACCTTATTTAAAAAAAAACTAATCACAAATAAGGCATTAGAAAAATTTCAAAATTTATCAAAAAACGGAAATGACAGAGGGCTTTTTATATATTTTCTTAAAAATAATAATAATCGGTATTAACTTAAACCGTGGAAGTACAATTAAAAACAAATTTAGTACATTTTAAAGCATGCATATATATATTATGTATATATGTGAAAACAAAATATATGTTGCAGTATGGTAGATGATATAATCCAGTAAGGTTTCTTATATAAAATCGGACTACTTATTACGGACCAAAAATTTAGCTTGTAAATTATTACAGTGTGTTAGAGAGAAATTAGAGTAGAACCTTTTTTGATTCAAAATACTTCATATACCATAAATTAGGTAGTTATGTGTTTGTCCATGAAATGAAAATAAAATTCATTGATATACAAAGTATTAAAGAAAACTCAATGAGAGATAGACTTTCAGTCAATTGTAATCTATGGAATATCTAATATTTTAATGTCCTATTTATAAATCTGTAAATCCACTATTGAAAAATTAGTCGAGTTGAAAAAATCGTATAATCGTATAATTTTTATCAAATACTATTTGCCTTATTTTCTTAATAATATTTTACGCATAAGAATTTGGTTCCCATCATTTATTGGTGTCCTTAACTAGCCTTGTAAAATTAATCACTTACTACATTTTTTTCAAGAAAGACTTCAGAACGTATGAGTAACATTGTTAAATATTTATTTATTTTTATAAAATTTAAATATTTTTAATTTATTATTATAAATGTTAAGATTTATTATAAAATAATTAATTTATTATTATAATTTATTATAAATCTCTGACTACAATATGTAAAATTTATTTGTTATATATTCCCAAATATATGATAACTCGGTTGATGTTAGTCACGACCATTAGTTCAAAAATGGTCAAATATAGAATAAAATTTAATATAAAATATTTTATTCCACCTTTAACTATATATAAAAACTATATCCTTACGATTCAAAAACAGAAGAATAAGCATATTCGTTTTTTATTCAAATATTGTCATATATAAAGACTTATAGTCTCTTAAGATCGGGAAAGCATGCGATTCACGTTTCTTGTTGCACTCTTTAAAGCTGCTTTCACTACTATTCGAACAAATAATTTAATATATAAGCTATATATATCATCTTATATCAGCATTTAAATCTGGTATTTATTTGAAGATATTTTTACCAAATCATTATTTTTCTTCTAAAAACTATTAGGAACTATATGTAAAGAATAAGAAACTGGATAATATTTAATGTTTTCTATTTTTCCGTTTCGTATAGCGAAATTCGAATTTTTTTTTTGGCACAAAAAAATACCTTTTTCTAATGTATATCAGCGTATAAGATCCAAACTACTAAATCTGTTTAAAAACAATGGACAAAAACATACGTTAGAGATTTGATTACCTTTAATATCAAGATATTACAAGATATGAACTTGTGTGAACCCATTGGTTGATTTTTACTCGAGATATGACCTAACACTACGGTCGTAGTACTACATTCCGTTGGGAACGAATACCCTGTTTATTTCTATTATATCTATGTGCTAACATTTAAAGTTATATCCCGAAAAGCTACGAATAAAAATCAATGTTATTTTTGAGTTTAGCAACCAAAAAACTAAAGAAAAATATAATGGCATTAAATGCACAAGAATTTCTGTAAACTAGGCGCTGAAGTAAAAGATTAAATTTTCAATTAGGAGTAATATAGTTCTAATAAATAAAGGACTCTGTTCATTCTGTCATCCTATATTAATTATTTAATCTAATAATAAAAATATTTGTATAAACTATTGATAGCTGAAACAATACAAGAGATGAAAATCGGAATCCCGGGTATTTCATAACAGATATTTCTAATACCCAACAGGATATTATTGAAAACTGTCATTTCATTTTACATGATGAAAATGATTGATTATGTAATATTATTTAAAGTTAAAAAAACTTAATATATAAATATTTTTAATATTTAATTAATATATATTAATATTTTAATAATATAAAATAAAACTAGTATTTCATATTTTAAAAGAAAGATACTTATACGGAGAGACGTCCCTACTGTATTCATTTAAATACAGTAGAATAGAATCTAAGTTGTTATCGTTCCCAACATAACTATATAGACATCTCAATCTGTGGTGTCAAAATCTGTTCTAGTTAATAGAATGTCATCTCTGCTTGAATGACAATGAAGATTTAGTGCTTTCTATTTCGTTAGGGACAGTTGTTGCATACAATATCTAATGATCGCAGTGTTTTGGTTCAAATAGTTGTCAAAGACACTTTCATTTATTTAACTATCTAGCTATGATAAATATAAATTTTGACTTAAAAAGACCCCGAAAAATTCACTTTTAAAAATAAACTTAAGTTCAACTTCGATTTAATTATATAAATTATCTGTAAAGTTAAATTTAAAATTCAACGATCAAACTTTACAATTAATGTCAAAGGTGGTCTGAATCACTTCAAGTACAAATTCAAGTACAAATTCAAGTTCAAAGACACTTGATAACTATTAACAATTTCGCCACAGAACGACTAAAATGTTAAATTGTTTGCAGCGAATTACGCATGCATAAAATGTAAATTCTGATAAACAAATAAAAAGCGTTAATCAGGGATCTGCCATATGGTTAACGGAAATGAAGTGGGAGAGAGAATATTTGCACAACATTGGCATTGTTGTTTTTTCATTTTTTATCAGAACATGTGTCCTCGCCCCTTTCGAAACACACATATATACACAAAAGCGAAGTGTAGCTCATAATAATTTACTATTGGTAAGGCAATAAAAATTATCGAAAAAATTAAACTTAATTAAAAGTTTATTTTTTTTTATTTTTATTATTTTATTATTTTTTGTTGTAAATTATACATTTTTTCTCTTCATAATATAAACATAAAATTCAAGAGCATAATAATTACATGCCGTCAATCAAATTTTAATGAGCATTCGAATTCGCACATATTCTTTCAGCTTATTAAGTTGTAAAAATACAAAATTTTCTTATTAGCTTTTGAATTTATAGCCGCATTAATTGCTTTTTATTAGCGACTGCAAATATGGCGTCGCCGCTGCAGCTGTGCGACAAGTTTATCATAAATGTATGTGTATGCACATGTGTGTTAAATAAATTCCTTGATTTAATTATGTGTATTACCACCAACCCATGAAGGCTCCAGTAGAGCAAAACGTTACAGGTTCTCGTTTATGTATTGCTTTATTTTTTTCCCCCATTTACAGTTCGAAAGTGAATTATTTTTTTTTGTTTAGCGAATATATAATAATTTGTTTAAATCTAGTTTTATATATAATATTTACTTTGCTCTTAACGCCAGCTGTCTGTCACTTGGGCAGACAAACTTATTGCCGCCATTGTTGCGATTTTGGAAATCCATATCCGTTGAAGTTGTTGTTGTTTGCTCTTGTAAAAAAAATTGACGACGCTATGTCTCAGTAAAGTACACAAGAAATGAGAATTTCTTTATTTCATAAATTTTATATACGATATAAAAAACATTTTTATCATTTTGTTATAATTTAGACAATTAAATAGCACAACCGTATACGCAATTATGTTAATAAAATAATTTTTACTGCACTTTTCTTTAATTTTTTGTATGTATTTGATATTTCAACATGGCTCCGGTATTCAGATTTTGTGTATTGTTTAGGATACGGCACAAACTGAACTAAACTAAGTTTGTCTACATGCCTGTTGCATGACTATGCTTTGCTGAGAAGTTTCAAACCCCAACAATCATTCCAACACCCACCTACACCGCTTATTATCTATATTTTCAGTTATTGCACGTACTGTCAACAAAATGTGAGACCTGATGTGTGAACTGTGTGCGTGTCATAAAAATACCAAAAAAAATTCAAACATTTACTGGACTAAATACACTGTAACCAAGCATTTTTTTATGTTTTTGTTTTGTGGTAGATGTGCACCGACATAAGTGGCAGTAGCAACTCACTGCAGTTATTTCTGCCAGCCACCCCAAAAATGCTTAACACTTTGGGGTGGAAGTGTAATGTTCTGAGTACACAGTAAAGACTCCACAGCTTGCGCAGACAAATATGAACTTGAAAAAATTGTTGTTAATTAAGTTTTTACTTTCAAGCTGAGTTGTTTTTATTTATATACTGTTATTTATATACATAGATTAACTGTCTTTAATAATTACTTAAGTAAAAGATTTTAAAAGACGTATTTTCTGTAATTTGTTTAAACTATGTGTTTTATTCTTGCTTTTCATATTTTGAAAGAGTTTTTATTGAATTGATTTAAATTGATGACAATTTTAGTTAATTCAACATTAAATTTAATTTTTAAAGAATTATATATAATAAAGATTACAAGCTGTAAACTTTATAATTGTTATCACTTTTTCCCTATAAAAATTTTTTTGGTAAATATTTTGTTTTTAAAGCCTCAGCTTTAAATGTCTGACCTTTGACATTTTCCTTTTAAACAAAAAATGAGAAAAATAAGGGATATGTTAGCCTGTTTAAAATAATACACGTTTCGATTTTGTTTTGTCCTTTTAATCCGGTAAAATAACAAATATGTGTAAGAGTGTGTCCATAGGTAGATGTTCAGAATTAACAAAAATATTCAGAATTAACTAAAATTTCTTGCTGATAGAAAATGAATAGTAATGAAAGACTATTTTTAAAACATATTTCAAAAATAATTAAAACAATAAATTATAACAATTATTAAAATTAATTTAAATAATAATTTTTAATCTTCTTACTAACAATGTGGTTTCCAAAGGAAATAGAATATTTTTGGTATGACCAACGTTTTACTAACAATTTGATTTCCAAAGCAAATATGATATTTTTGGTAAAATCAATGTCTTTTATTGAAAATAAAACCTTCTAACTCAATACAGCAATTTGCACGACTTAGAAGGAAGTCGTATAAGTGTTATATATCCTTAGATATCAATGCAAATCTTTTCGATGACTTCCATGCCCACAAACTGTTGAAGAGAAAAGTCGCTAGGTGATAAACGAAGAGTTGTTACTCTTTCCGTATAGACTGATAGATCATTATAGATCGATAAATAGCATATTATTGTGCAAAAAATTCCAATTTTTTACCGAAAACTTCATATATGATGCAACAAATGTTTCAAAATACTTTTTAATCCAGTGGAACGAACTCTGCCCTTTACAATGCGCTTAAAATCGTAATAGCATGAAAAGTGTTTTAACTTTTGTCTTTTTTGAACAAAATTTTTGTAGATTTAACTTGCTTAGCACCTTGCATATATAACTTTGGTCAAAGAATCTATAGTACTATAGATTCTTTGCTTAAAGTATAATCTAATTTTTTCACATCCTTAATTTATAGAATTTTTTTTTTTCCTTTGTTTCATCATCATCATAAAAAATATATTGTGTTATTTGCTTATTTATAATTTAATATATTGTATTATTGTGGTTTTTGAATAGGACACGAATTCCTGCACAACACGCAGTATTTTCAAATATAAAATTCTGCTATTATTATTTAATTTACTAAGTAGTACATCGCCTTACACGTATTCACCAGTAGAACAATAATTACATGCTTTGAACCAGAATTTTTCATTAATGCTCAAGGAATGTCCTTACATTTTCTTTTTATTTATAAATGGGCATTTTTTAAATTCATATATTTAATCTAAATACAGCATGTAACTATATGTGCGTACGTATATACATACATATATATTATGCTCTGTGTGTTTCTTGTTTATAAAAAAATTCAGAGTACTATTTATGAAAAAATGTTTCGATGTAAGATATTATTCAAAAGAGAGAATTTAATAATGTTCCTATCAGTATATATGTTAGTGACTACAGTTAAGAACTCCACAGTAGTTAAGAACTCCACAGATTATTAAAAGCGTTCGTAATTGTTTATATCCTGAAATCGTGACAATTTAAACAGTTTTTAAACAAGAAAATAAATTTATTTTGGCAAAGCAAGTCAAACAACAATATTAAACTTAATTTTTTTAATTTACTTACATAATAAAAATTTATTTTGCTCGTCATTGGTGGCATTATGTTTATTACAAATCTTTGATAGAGCTTTATAGGCTGTATTATTGTTTATATTTAAAGAAATATCCATTATCAGGCCGCATAAACCATGAATTTTTATCGAAATTATGGACTCTTTAGTCGTTTTAGTCAACAAAAAAAATTATAACAGATTTCTCAAATTTAATAGATCTGAACTACAAGTAATAACTGGTTTCCAAGATAGACACGTTTCTATTAACTGTAAACTGTAAAACCTTCAATCATCTTATTAATATCATCACGTCATATTATTATCAGGGAAAAGATCTCCTACTTAAATCTGTTTTTTTTAACCGAATAAATCTGTTTTTAAACCGAACTTTATTGGTAGGTTGATCAATTTGACTTCATTTGTTCACATTAGCTTAATAGACCAAGAGTAGCACAATAAACATTATATGTCACTGCACCATATTGCTTCTAATAATAATACCACATCATATACAATGAGTGTACAATTCTGGTACAGGTAGCAGTTAACATTAAAATTTTACTTATATATTAATAAATTATCATAGCTAAAAATAGCTACTATATTTCCATTCGGTGATAATGAAATTGAAACAATTAAAATCCAAATCTTCTACTGCTAATTTCGTCCAGCATTTGATTTGCACAGACGTGTGTTTAAAAACCAAAAAAATGAACAATTTTTAAAAGTCAGAAATGTGAATCAAAATCCTATTGTAATTCATATCGCTCCACTGTACTTGAGAAGCTTATTTGTTCATTGCTTTTATAAGCAAATGTCGAATCTTCAGCTGGGATAGAGAACAGCTTGTGGTCATTTAAACGATAACGGACGGCTGAGAATTTAGAATTCTAACTAAGTCAGTTTGAAATTGATTTTGAAAGCTTTACAGTACAAATATTCGAACTGAAATTTAGCACATATTTCTTCATAAACCAGATAATTGCTAGTATTTGTGAAATGAGTGGATTTTCTAATTATTTCTACAAGAAATATTTAACTGGATATACTACACCACTCTAAAACGATGGGCTTAAGACTGCCATTCTAACCTAACGTCTTCTATGGAATATAAGTTATGTTCTCAAGACAGATGTTCTAATATAAATTTCTTATCAAATCAATATATATAATATGCTATGGATATATAAAAGTCTTTAACCACAATAGATCTTTAATAACCTTTTAGACATTAGCGTCATTAAGGCATTAACCTTAATGAAATTGAACATATAGATATTTCATTTTTTAGTATATTAGATAAATGGTTTATAAAATTATTTTCATACATGAAAATAGTTCGTTCCTTACTCGAAGTGTTATTATATTATATTTTGTGTACATATATGTAGTTTTATATAATATAACAAGAGCTGAAATACTTAATAAATAAAGATAACTATATATATATGTCATGAGCACTTAAATTAGAAGTATATATTTTGAATTTCTCCGATAAAGCAACAAATTGTGATAAGTAAAATTATTTAAAAATATGCTAAGCATATTTACAAAAGATAATGGTTTCAAGAACGGCAGGGTCTACGTTCCGGAGCCACTTGTCGCCAGTGACGACCAAGGGCCGTTTAACACCTACCAAAGTGACTTTACAAGGACATCCCAGCGGGTTGCAACAACCACAACAATAACAAAATATAATAACTAAGGATTGTTTGGTGACAAAGTTACACTTACAACTACTATCACTCTTTATAAGAAAGATGGTTCCCAACACAAAGAAATAGAAAGTTCGAATAATTTACTAAAAATGAAAGAACTTTATGACATTTTACAGCTATAAATAGATTTATATAATTTTTAAAGTAATTTCTAATGAAAAATGATAAGCAACAATTAAAAAAGAATGACTTCGGTTTACATTAAAATTATTTTAATTTATTTTTTATTTCTTGAAATTATTTTTTCTTTTATTTACTTTGTTTAAACTTATTATGTATTTTATTCATTTAATTATACTTAATAAATTACTTTCACAATGTATTTTTATATTACTAAATTGTATGTTAGTAATTAAACCTATTCATTTCATATATCGACATACATATCAAAATTAAGTAACATTATATACAAAAATAAATTACAAATTCATTTTTATTTGCTAGTAATTTTAATTTGTATGAATACATTTATGAAACGTATATGAAATAAAAGTTCAATTTTTTTAATACAATTAAAGACTAGTCTTTTTTTTTTTATTTAAAAAATTAATTTTTATAAATATAATAAATTAGCTAATAATTTAAATCTATTTTGCTTTATTAACTAGCTTCTTTTTTAGCTTTGAATTCATGCTAAATCAACAGAACACAGAATGCTGTAGAACAATTTAAAAATGATTGCTATTCTATACTCAAATAATATGCCAAACAGTCTAAAAATTGCATACGTAACTTAATACAATACTTATTCTTTGATTACGAACCGTTTCGTCTTCTTATTTGGTTTTTTATGAATACGCTTATGATAGCTTTGCGCCAATGAATTAATTATCGAAACAATAAAATACATAATCATAATAACAACAAAACATTCAAATATCTTTGACAACAGATTTCCTGATTCGGTTTGTGGCTTATTTTTTTGTCGATGTAAGCGTAATTTTTGATTATTTAAAAAACCTTTAAAAGGCTCTTGTAATTTTTTACCGAAAAATGGTATTGAACCCATTAAGTCGACGGCACGCTCAATAAGCGTCTCATTGAATGCTATTATAACGAATATCTTTTGTATATGCATTTTAATTATTGCTTTACCAATTAACGTAGCACCGAAGAAGGTCCAAAATGGCACCAAAAAATGCCCACATGTAATTCCAGCTAAATCAAAAAGTGGATTGGGAATCTGTATAAAGAAAAAACCTCATTATAAATGTTTTTTTTTTTTTCAATTTTTAAGTAAACTTACACTTGCACATGCTAATATACCAAAAAAGCCAATCCGTTCTACAACTCTTTCCATGAACAATTTGCCTCTATCAACTATGCCTAAATTCTTTTGATTACGTTTTGCTTTAAGTGCTTCGAATTCTGCTAATTCCTCTGCATCATCAGGATCGTAACCAGAGAGGCGAGCAGCTTTAGCCATAAAATACGGCGGTAATTCACCAAGCGCGGTGCCGGCACCCCAAAGAAACGCTTCTAATCTTACTTTAGACATAATTGTCCAAAGATTTGGTACTTTTTGCGTATAAGGTTCTTCTGGACATATAATACTAAAATAAAAATAAAAATAAAAATAAAAATTAATATAACTAAATTACAATTTTTTAATTTTACAATTCACTCACTCATCAGGATAAGGGGGACTTGGAAATTTTAACGAATTACATTCATATGCTGCTAAAGTCACACTTGCAATATGTGGACCCAAATACAATAAAAACGTATGAAGTCCAGTACCTAAGCCCACAGATGATAATACTCCTAAACCAATCCAATACACAAAAAAAACTGTGTTTTTACGTATTATATCTAAAACGACTTGATGTGGCCCAGGAGTGTAGTAGAGTATACTTAAAACTGCAAAAAATACTACAAACAAAGCAACCAGCGCCCTTTGTTGTAATAATCTAGAAATAAAATATATAGTTATATATTTTGTATTAAATATATATCTAGGTATATAATGTATTTGTGTATATGTAAAAATTTACTTTTGGGATGTAGTTTTTATCAATGTAATAAGTTCTAATGCAGAAAATTTAAGAGTGTCTATCGGTTTACGCCAAAGCACCAACAGTTCTCGCTCCGCGCGCTCTTTTTCTTTTTGGGTATTTGGTTTTTTACGTGATTGATTGGGTATAATCGACATAGTATTATTCTTATGGGGACCATCACCAATAGTCTTTTTATTGCGTTCGTTTTGGGTTGATGTTGATTTCTGTTTTACGTTTTCCGCATTCTGTTGATGCTGCTGCTGCCTACGATTACGACTTTGTGACATTTATATTTTTCGAAAAATTAAAACTATCCCTGCAATAGAAAAATAAAAAGAAATCAATTAATATTTTAAAATAATAAAAAAAAAGAAAACGAAAACGAAAACGAAAACAACAACAAAGTATAACAGTATATTAGCAGACAAGAAGGTCGTTCAACTTTAATATTTTGATTTGTTATTGTATCTATGTTCTTATCAAAATTTGATTAAATCATGTCAACTCAAAAATGTACAATATATAAAAATTTAAAGAAATATTAATATAAAATAAAATTATAGTTAAAGATAAAGAATCATACTTTAAACATCTTGCTACATTTTTTTATTTATATAATGTAATTTCACCTGTTTTTCAAATAATTTTTTTTTATTTTACTGAAAACATTTATGTGCGTTAGAATATATGCAGTTAATTGCAGTATCAGTCATATAGTTTAACATTTTTCAATGCTCATGAAAAACCTTTTTAATACATGGCCTTGCTTAATAAGCATTTAATATATTTCTTTGTTAAGAATAAGAGTTTTTTGTCAATAATTGCGAATACAACTTTGAACACTGAACAAAAACAAAAGCATGTAGCACGTTTGATAATCATGCGATTGAGAAGCACCAATGAAATGAAACCACACATACTTTTGTTTACAGCAAAACAAGAACAACTTCATGAAACCAAAATAACATTAAATGGTGCTACTTAAAGCTGACAGGTCGTCCAGAATTTATTTAATGACCCATGAAGGTTAAAATAATAGATTTTTGTTTTATTTTATTAAAGATAAAAGTTTGTTTAGATAAAAGTTAGTCAATAATTCTGCACATAATTTGCAGTGTATACTTAGTTAACTTAGTGGCATGAAAAAAGATATACTGAACTATGTGTTTATATTCTGCAAAAATTATTAATAAAAAGCGGGTCAATTTACACTTAATTTTTTTTATTTTCCCAAAAAAAAAATGTTTTTAAATATAAAAACTCTGTTACACAATCTTTAATTCAGAAGTATAATTCATATAATTTAATTAAATTAAGTCACTATTTTAACAAAAAAAAAATCAATCGTACTCACAATATAACAAGATGTTTTGAATGACTATTTCAACTTAAATTAAATAGAACAAATACACTTGTAACCACTTACACTTACCTAATTTTTAACACTTATTTACTCTTTTAATTATTTATCAGTTAACAATGACTTTTAAAAATTCTAAATCTACTCTGAACGGTGCCGCAGATCTACCAGCAGAATAAAGTACATGAAAAATGTTTGACGTTTATAAAGTTTTTCTAAAACCTGACACATTATAAAGAGGTATGTTTAATCATTGCCGACTAATTATATGTGTACCCTGTACACATTATCAAGCAGTATATAAAATACTAGGGTTCCTAACATACATAAAGCTTTAAGAACCAAATATATTTGAATTGATAAGAAATTACTTGATGCTCCATAATAATTAAAATTTTACTTTTAAAGCTTAAATATTATTGTTTTATCAATGATTGTTAGAGAAAACAGTATATAGTGTTTTTGGACTAAGTAATTCTATTGATAAACCAATAATTTGTTTTTGTTCGAAGCACCAGACCTAATTGGGTTAAATAAAACACAAATAAAAATACTAAATATATTTTCTGACATTAGTATGGTAGGGTACAAATAGATAACTGGATGGTTTCTGTTGTATTTTTAAAAATGGCAGTAAATGTAATGTGTCCAGTTAAAAAGCTAGTAGTTAATCTAAGTTTGAATCCATTTACAATAAAAGCCCTTGTAAGCATTTTTGCTGTTGAATAAAAGAATCTGTTTATATTGCTTTTTAGTCCTCTGTTATTGGTTTATGATTATATTTCTGTATTTCTGTCACTACTGTTTCATAATGGAATTTGACGCAAAAAGGTTCCTATGAATGAAGTTAAGTTACTCACTTTGAAAGTTTTTCAACTGTTTCGTTACGGCGTCTCTCTCACTCTCTAGACGAATATGAACTAACTCATTGGATTTAGTAAACTTAGAAATTGCCTAATTATTTCAATATGCATATATTAATAATGCTGACGTTTTTGTATCGCCTTATAAAAAATTCTAAAAAGATTGTAGAAAATTTCTTCAATAACAACTATGGGAAACATCCAATATAGAAATTCTTCAAAGATTTCAGTCTAAAACTTTACTGAAATAGTAAATGCTCCATGGTATGTAACTAATATTCAAATCCATCGGGACCTTAGGATAATTCCGGCAAGAGACGAAGTAAAAGAGGTAGCTAGAAAATACCATGGACGAATACAAATTCTTCCTTAATTGTAAATTATCATGACTTAAATAGTGTTTATTAAAAAATTGGAAAATGTCACCATGTTATGTGACAGAATACATATTGAATTTCAATTAAATAGAAAAACAAAAAAAAACGTAATATTTCTAATATAATATTTAATTGTATTACCGATTGTACTGTCTATTGAGGCATTTTATAATACAGATTTTAATAGAATGCATTTTTACCGAAAAAACTACGACAAAGTTGTTCTCAGAAACAAATAAATCAAATCTGGGTTCGCATTTAACAAACGCATGAATTGAAAAAACTGATATAATTAAAGTTAAATATTAATGTTTATTCATACATGTTTTTATTTGACACATATTCAATGTCAAGTTAATGCTACAATATTAGTCCTTGCATTTTATTTAGTACTCATCATCAACATTTAAGGTTTTCTGGACCATTATTTATAAAACATTGCAGGCAGAAGATATTATCATAGTTTGATGTTGATTGATATCACTTTGAATAAGTTCCGGATATTGAAATCAGTTTCTATAATAATGATCGCACAATTTACTGTCTTGAATTAAAATCTCAAAATCTTTTTTATTTATTTCAGCTTAATGTGAAAGAAACTATGTGTATACTGTTTTATTATAATATTGAAGGACTGAGCAGTTCTCACCAAAATGACGAACTGATGACGATTTCTTAGCTTTTAGTATTAAGTGGAAACTATTGTTATAGACGATGAAACCATGTATCAATTCTTATATGGTATATGGTTTGTTTGTCATTATTTTTAGTTTATAACGCTAATCTTGTAAGAATAGTGTTTCAAAGATTGATTTAACAACAATTAACACTTAGATCGGAGTTAATTCGAAACCATCATCCTTTCGCCTTATTCATTTTTATCCAAACCACCCCTCCACACCCCAATTTATTTCACGAATATTTTATTTGCAATCCATTCATGTATCTGCTTAGGTTACTAAATCTACTTCATATTTATTACATCGATCACAGACTCTGCAATTTATACATATACATTATATATTAACCATTCTTCTATAGATGTCAATCCAAACACTTATTTTTAATTAAGATTGTATTGCATTTTGATTGGATTTTTACGTTTATTATTGAAATAAAACATTCTTTGTGCTGTTAACATGTACAAAATCAATATCTACAATCAATATATTGTTTTGGTGTGTTATATAAACAAAACGGAAATGATTTTATGGAATTATTTTTTAAAACTATAAAATTAATCAAAATGTAAAAATATTTATTTTCATTTAAGTGTAAATTAATAAAAATAAAACAAATAATTATTTTAGACACGAAGCCTAGTTTCTTAAAATTTTATTATAACTATGTATGTAGATTAATTAAAATATTTTTGTCATTACATTATATACTTATAAAAACTGAAAAAGAAAAGAAATATGTATACAATATGTTTTAATTAAATTCAGTTTTTTTATATCTTTCCACAAAATAAAACCCCACACAATTTTATTTCGAGTCCCTAAAGAAATATTTAAGAAAAATTAAATACAATAGAAAAAATGAAATCAAAATGTTATTAAAACTACTGCTAATAAAAATATATATTTAGCAATTTTTTTAAATATTTTATAACTATGTTTTGTAGCATTACTATAATTAAATTAGTTTTTAGTTTTTTTTTATATAATAAATTTAAACACTTTTATTTGTAAATATAATTATTAATTTAATGAAAATTGTAGTAATTTCCTTTTAAGCCATTCTCCACCAATACATTCATCATTAGCCAGCTATCAGTTTTAAGTGAAGTGTTTAATAAATGCTTAAACTTTGCCGTAAACATTTTCATCTGAATAAGCGATATACAAGAAGTAATCCTCTTCATGATGTTCCTAGGAAATTCAATTTTTTTTTTGTTTTTAGTTGAACTTTAAACAGATTTAAATAATATTTTCTACCTGATAAAGGGAACCCATGGTTGCAGATGTTGGTGGAATTACATTGTTAACAAAGAAAAATAAAGCATCTTCGGGGCGCAAATGAATACGTTTACGAATCAAGAAATAAAATTGTCCAACAGTTAAATCAGAAGGAACCAAATATTTTTTCTTATCCAAATCACCAATGCGAGCTTTGGGTGCCTTCTCTACGATGACCTGAAAGTAATAAATCACATGTTAATCATCTTTTGAACTATGTCAACATAAGCAGATCATTATTATTTTCAATTATTTTTATTATAACATAAATATATTTTATTTATAATTTAATATATTTATATATATAATTATAATTTATAATATACAATTTAGATTTTAAGTAAAATTTTATAATTTCTTGTAAGTGCTGTACGAAATGCTTTGAATCAATAATAAATAATAATATTATTATTTCGAATTAGGAATTTTATGTTCTATGACAAGAAATCCATTTTGAAATAAAGTAAGGATATAGTGCGAAAATGTTCAAATCAAAAAAAAAAATTTCATTAAGAGAATTTTTTGGCTAACTACACAGCTGTTTAGATATTGCTAAATATAGTTGTTGTAACCCGTTGGGACCTGTAATTAAATAACAAGACGATTACATGAGTGGTGAAGTGGATGGGTAGTGATTGAGGGGAGGAATGATGATAAGGGGTGTATTGAACATTAACCCGGGTCCAGATGGAGAAACTTGACCACTTCAATGAGGTGGGTCCAAACGTCAATTGGGTCCAAACGGCAAGTTTGTGTGCGTTACTTTAATATTGTAACTATCATCATTGGTCTCTGGAGACATCTATTGCGCTACAAGTTATATTTTTTCTATAAAATCTATTCTATATAAATATTTCTAAAAGTTTGTAAACACATGGATTATAATCTACCTCTTGTAAATTTGTTATTTAATTTAATTAGAGTTTATAGATGATATGATTTAATAATGAAACCTAATAATATTAAGATTAAAATTATAATTTGTACACAAGCATGTGTTAAAACCTTACATATAATAAAAATTATGCTACTAACTACTAGTGATTCTGTGTATATTTCGTTATAGTCTGCACAAATATTTCTTTCGATATTTTTCTACATTATTGCTAATCTGCAGAACAAAGACAGTGTTCTGTATGAATTTATCAATATTAATCCTTAACACTAATCTCGTGTGAGTGTAGTCATTGAAAGAAACATGTGTAAAAAAGTATACACCAAAATGCATATAAAATATCAGTGTGAATATTCATGTCAGGTTGTATTAATAACCAAAACAAAAAACCTGAGAGTCAATATATAAGTTTATGGATTTTACTATGCATTAATAATTTTAAAAAACAATCACTTTACTAACCACTAACTAAATAATAGACATAGGAGTTCGCTAGGGACTCGATAGGATCAATGCGTGTACAGCTAATATACACTTATCTAATACATACATTACAAAGAAACAAATCTGTACATAAAATAAATTTATTTCGTATTTTGAAAATTAAGTTGTCATTTAGAAAAAAAAATATAATATTGCAATCACTTTTCATGCGTTATAGTTTACGTAAATTATTTGTTGTGAAATGCACAATTTCAAAATCACGTACCTATGTGTGCTTCAAATAGTAATTTTAAAAACGTGATAGTAAAATTATTAGAAATATTTAAAATTTTTATAAAATACATACTAAAATTGACAATAATTCATTTAACTTATAAACGTATAAGATATTCGTGCACTTCAATTAAATAATTATATAATAATAAAAGTAATGCAATATAAACTAGTAATAATGGAGAGATGATAATATTTGAGACATATTAGAATATTTATTAATAAAAAATATTTTATTCAAAATATTGATAATGTAAAATCACAAACACATACTTTAACTGTGATAAAAATACAATGATTTAAAAATAAATTAATATTTATTATTGCTTAATATTATTATATCGTATTATAAAATTTAATAATAATTAAGGATAGTAATTTTGATCATAAGATACAAATACGACAATATAACCACATTGAGAAAATAATATTAATGCAAAATAATATATTTATGTAATAAAAATAACAATATACATATATTGAAAAACAATATTTTATATATCCAACTATATAAGACTCCAAATTTACAAAAAATCCTATTTTTTTTTTTTCAACTCCGGAGACTTTGTTTACTATCCGATTAATCGGATTCTCTGAATACTTCGTAAAACCGAATACGAACAGCACTACACAATAGATAAAAATGTATATTAATACATTTCAAACTGTACATTAAAATTTAGCATGAACCCATTGCGGTTCGCATGCAGCGCTGCATGCATAAAATTTTTTATATCCAACAATATAAGACTCCTACTTTACAAACAATCCTATTTTTGTTTTTTCAACTTCGGAGACTTTGTTTACTATCCGATTAATCGGATTCTCTGAATACTTCGTAAAACCGAATACGAACAGCACTACACAATAGATAAAAATGTATATTAATACATTTCAAACTGTACATTAAAATTTAGCATGAACCCGTTGCGGTTCGCATGCATCGCTGCATGCAGAATATCTCATGCATTTGGTCATATGTTTATAAATTTGCATTTTGCATATGCAATTGTCATATTTCGTGTTATAGCGCATATTTTTGTTAAATTGTATAAATATGCTTGTAATACATTTCGACCACTTTCTTATTTATTTATTGCAATGGCAGCTCTTAAAACTCTTATACTTTCTGAAATTGCCAAGTGAAAGCAGATAAAATTTTTAACATAAAGCAGCATTTATCTATTCAAAAACACGTACCTGCAACAGAATACCGCAAAAAAAACAAGCGAACAAACATTTTTAATTGAATAAAAGACAAAAACTTTAAAGACATTGCATCGAGTAATTTAACAAAGGCGCTTTTAAAGGCTAATATACCTCTGAAAAAGATACCACATCCTAGCCCCAGACAATTTATCGAAACAAACATCCAAATAACACTTTTAAATGAATGAATGCCTGTTACTCCAAAAATGCGTATCGATATATATATACTATTATGCATCAAGTAAGAGAATTAGCTGGAAATTCTCATACATATATGAGTGGCACTAGATGAAACTACGGACAGGAGTTTCCGTATATTGGTTCATTTTGTATTTGGTGTTATGAGTGGAAATAAAAACACTTAAGGTTATTATTTAATATGTAGGACGGATGATCATTGTTCCTATGTAGGACATGTAGGAATATATAGGACACCAGAATCATTGTTCCTGAACGCAGAAGTCAAATCGGAGTTAGCGTATATTCAAGCAGCTTTTGTTGTGTATAAAAACACAAACAAAATTTAATGCAGTTTAAATACATTGAAACAAATCAACTATGTCATAAAGAAAGATATTACATCAGCAGATGATTTCGTTAATCAATTTTCGCCCAAAGAACTTTTTCCACTGACATCCACAGATGTAGAGTTTTTTTTTCTTAATTTATAAAACATTTTTCACAAAATGTCGCCCATTTTTTCTGTTCCAAAATGTGAAAAACATCTTATTGTTAACTGTTTTGGATAAGTAAGATATAATTTTCAAATGCACATTTTTTAGTTTTTACAATTTATTTTATGCGTTAAAACAGTACTTTTAATAGCATAAAAATATTGGCTCTAGTCATAATATTTATTTAACTAAACAATTACAATACAGGGAAAATATTTTAGTTTGACATCGGCAGCATTATGATTGCAGACTGGTTTAATATATTATTGGGATGGTACTTTATCGTGAATGTAATTTTTGAAGAATGCTAGATTCAAAACATTTAGGATTAAATCATCTATTAAGGTATGAAAATTAATATAAAAAAAATTTGAACTTTTAACTTATAAAGTTTGTATATTTTTATTTATTTATTTATAATTTTTTTCACTTTTGAAAATACCAATGTGGCAGTAAAAAAGTTTTTTTTTATTTATATTATTTTTATTTATTTAATGGAATTTCTCTATATTTAATAGTCATATTTGTCTATAATTAATCATAATGTTATTTCGTAATTTTATAATATTATTATGTCACAGATTTGGCCAATTACTCAAATAACAAATGAATACCAACTAAATAAAAATTGTATATAAGAGGAAATTGTTTAGAACAAGAATTCAACAAAGTTGTTTGGTTTAGTGAAAATGTATTTCACAATTTGTATTAAAAAATATTATTGTAGATGTGAATACTCAAATTTGCACGAATATTAACAATTTATACCCAAAAATCTTTATAATTTATTGAAAGCAAAAGCAGAAAATCATACCAGAACAATACTATTGACCTCTGCAAGGCCGAACTTTGTGCTTTAGCATAAAAACTAGTTTAATTTTATTTTGTTTTAAATGCAAGAGAGGCTGTAAACTCTAAAAACTAAGCTCTTAAAAGGTTTATGTTTGAGAACAAATATATTTAAACAATTTATTTAACTCTAATTAATCTATTAGTTGTTAAGAACCTGTTATTTTTCTAATTTTTTTTTTATTTTTGAACATCATTAAGGTCATATACATATATATAAAAGTGTTTTATCTTTGAGGACAAATATTTTATGATAAATTAGAAATATATTGCATACACAACTGACATAAAAAAAGCTTTCCCATCTACTTTAAACAATTCTTTTTCGTTTATATACAAATCCCATTCCACATTAAAAATAGATTTTTTTTTATATTTTTGTGAAATGCAACTTCTGACTAATGACGACTCGACTCATTAATGATGCAACAATTACTTGTTTGTAGAGGAAAACAAAACAAAAAAAAAAATAAAATAAAAAGTTTTCAATAGACCACAAACGTATTGAGTATGAACTCTTATTTTTAAAGAAATAAATTTAACTTAAAAAAAAAACAACTAAATGATGAAAGTAGTGAAATTAACTAAAAGGCACCACTGTTTTGTACCTCTTCACTCAGAAATGAAAACAATCTCTTATGATGTAATTAAATATATATATTTAACTACAATAGAACTTAAAAGAGTTTATTAATTTTTATAGTTCTAAACAAATTATCGTTTTATCTCTATAAGATAGATTGTAAAAAAATTATTAAAACGAAATAACACAATTGAACAAATAATTTACTGATACATAAAAATAATTTTTTTTTAATAAATTTACATTTAATATAAAAAAAAACTATTTTGTTTGTTTGAATAAACAATTAATTGATAAACAAGTCAAAAAACAGCTGTTAATGAAAAAAAATAAGTGTACACATTTACACAAACACAGAACGTTTGCATATGTACCATGTCATTTCGTCCTATTCTTTCAAACAAAAAAAAACAAAAAAATGAAAATTGGCAAAATATGAAAGAAAATCAGAAGTCTTTAAACTGAAAAGAGATACATACATATATACTATATACATACAATTACTGTTTTCTATTCCGATAACGAATAAAAACAAAAATGGTGAAATACTTACGAATCGATGAGTAATGGATAGCTTAGTTAACACGAAGGGGGAAATATTAAAAACAAAAAGAGATTAGTATGTACTCATTAACTTAAAACAATAAATTGTGCGCAAATCACAAAAATTTATTTGAAGTTAATATAAACAATAATAACTTCTTTGGCTTTTGTTACATAAAATACATTTTAAGCAATATTTTTTATTTCTTTGTTTTTGCACTTATTATTTGCGTCTTTCTTTATAAAAAAAATACAAGGGTTGCCATTTTCAATGCAATATTTTAATTAGTTGAGATGTATATATAATATTATTATTAAAGCATTTTTTTATTTTATTCATTTTAAATTATTATAAATCAAATCAAAATTTTACAATTTCTACACCTTTTACATTTTAATTTTTTTTACCAATATTACAAGTGTCAGCTGTAGGCAACACTAATTTCAAAACAAAACACATAAAACAAATACACATTCAACAACAAAAGAAAAAAGCTACAAAAAACCAATATTAAGTAAATATTTTGTAAAAACAATATTTTTGTTTGGCTACTTTTTTAACGACGCAATAGTATATTTTGATAAAATTAAATTTCAAAGTGACCCCCTACCAAAACAAAATGTCTTTCCTGTGATAGACATTTTATACAAAAGTAAAAAAAAAATGTCTTCTAAAAATATCGAAAATTTTCCAAAATTAATTTTTAAAAAACTTACAGGTACACGGTCTGGGTACTTCCTACGAATTTTGTCACCTTCAGCACGGCGTTTTTCGAATGGATGTTCTTCTTTATATTGGAATTTCATTATTGTTTGGTTTTAAGCAATTAACAATACAAAAATAAACTTTTTATGAACGAAAACTGTTTCACTTGTGACTTGCTCTTTACCTGACTGCTTTGTTACGATTGAAAACGAATGTTGTCCTCGTTATTGACAGTGTTGTAGAAATGCTTTCAAAAATGTGTAGTAAACGTTAAATACTTTTCTGTTTTAAAGAACTACTATTTTTTATAAAACGTAAGAAAAACTGTGATTCAGGGTTTTGATTACTTACTAATTATATAAAAGTATTGTAAGTTTTTATTATATTAGATATTTGCAAGAACAAGTCTTTATAAATATTAATATATTTTACGCATATTAATTTCCTGTACCAAATACATACAATTAATAATTATGAGATACATAAAAACACAGCCATTATCAATAAATCCGCTCATTTGAAGCATGTCGATTGCAATCCTTGAAAATAAATTTCCCATAAGGGAAATTACCAAAATTTAAAATATTTGTTATATGTTTTATATGTAAAAAAAACAAACAACAGCTGAGCTGTAAATAAAGGCACTGAGTAAGTAAGTATTTAAAAAAATCTTTATTTTTATTAATTGAATATGTTATTGATATATAACATGTATATAATTGATTCAATATATCAATTATATATAAAATTTTTTTGGTATGTGTTGTTAAGTGAAGTTTATAAAAGTTCTATCGGGTGCATAAATGAACTCATTATAATGTGAACGTTCACTCATTTATTTAAATGAGCAAGTGTGAATATATTATTATTATATAAAAACAATAAAAAAGGTATGTATATTTACTATGGAAAAAATACCCTTATGTAGACTTAAAGAAATTTCTTTGAAACAGCCTTATAACATATGAAAGTTACAATTTCGTAAGTTCTACTATACACTATATTAACAGTATAAATTTATAAAAATGAAAATAGTTTATTAATTATTATAATTACTCTATATCGGTTTGATATAACTGATGCAAAATAATTTAAATAGAATTTAAAATTATTAAAGTAAAAAAGGCAAATTAATATAAAATTCAGGTGTATAATTACTTACACTATTTTCATATAAAAAAAATATATTTGTAAGTATTCGCATCGAACTGAATCGTTTGTAATATTTTTTTTTGCTGGGTTTTAGGTCGGCTTTGTTTTATGTTATTTATTTAAAACATATATAAATAAATTGCAACAGACAATAAACTGTAACGAATATAAACAGACAATACATAAACTATTACTTTGTTATGAAATTAACAAAAAAATTAGTTTTTTATTTATTTATTATTATAAAATAATTTTATATTATTTGAAGTAATATAAAACAAAACCGATATGAAGTCCGGCAAAACACAAATTCTTATAAAAATATGAAAGGAATACTTTAATAGATAACTTTTATTTTCAGTATTTTATTATTCTTATTTTAATAAACTGTTATAAAAATTTAATTATAAAAAAATACAAAATTGAAATAAAGTAAAAACATACAAAATTTTTTTAATTATATCTACGCACGTTTAAGCAAATTTCCAAAACAATTACCAAAATATGAATGTAAAAAATCGCTCTGTTGTTTACTCTCTCAAGTATAGTGTTCACAGCAAACTATGTCACTATGCCTTTATTATCATCAGTGCTAATTTTGAGTAAAGTGAATAAGCGTTTTTCCAAACAAATTTATAATTATCTACCATAAGGTCATGTGCGAGTTAGGCTAAGAAGCGTTCTAAAAGAGGGAAATTCTAAGTTGTGCCGATAATGTAGTGATGTGTCGAAAAGTGTTGATAAATGGCTAAATGTGTGCAGTTTAACTCGCACACGTCCTAAATACAATGTATAAAATAAAAAACAAAAAATAATTACGTACAAATTTCTTACTATTTATTTAAAAAAAAAACAAAATTGAGCTAAGAGCGCACAACTATCAATCGAATGCGTCCGCTATGCAAGATATGGATGCATCCAGTCTTAGAGATATGTACGCAAAATGTCTTTGAAAAAATTTGGCTAATTTGTTCGAAAATGTATTCGAAGACCATCATACATTTGGCTCGATCAGTCTTCAAGCATGTATCCATGTCATCAAGACGTCTTCGATGACGGATCGATCCGTTTCATACTGGGTGTAAGTACCATATATATCGATTTTTTTCGAACTACTTCTTTGAAAAGGCTTAAGTATACTTTTGCAAGAAAAAATATATAGCTCTATTTAAAAATATTGCGGAAGGGTTTATAAATCCCATAATTGAAATAAATATAGCTATTAACAACATATTTGAACTTTCGCACAAATCATATTTGAAATCGTCAGTTATTAACAAGCAAGATGATAACAAAAAGTGATAAAACGCTATAACATAATATAAAGACCATGATATATGTATGATAATATTAAAAAAAATTAATCTATATAATATTTTTATATGATATTATTATAATAATATAATAAAGTTCAGATGTCACATAATACTAATAGCGCACCTGAACAGCATTTATTGAACACCCTTAAGCAAGCGAACAACCGAATTCGAAATGACTCGAGTCTCGATTATGTGATATATTTTGACAATCTTTTCTTTGGTTCTTTTCCTTTGAGGTTTTCGCTGTGAAACATGGCACCAACCGTAAGTGCTCACAAATTTTTAAATATATAATTATATGAACGGGTTTTGTTAGAAATAATGAAACTAAATTGCAATTTAAATAAAACTATAACACAAATTACTGATTCTGTGCTAAAAATTAAAGTGATGTTATAATTAAAACACGATTAGAAAATTGACTTCACATAATGAAATCAATTAGTATTGTAAAATTGGAACGACAAGTGAAATGAAACTGAAATTCTTTTTTTTTTTAGGCTAAGTCCAATAAAGGAGGCGATTCCAAACCTACCTCAGCCAAAACGGCTGAAAAATCAAAAGCAGCACCTGCTGCTGCCGCTAAAGGCAAAGTTGAAAAACCCAAAACTGAAACTAAACCTGCTGCCGCTGCTAATAATGTAAAGAAAGCGCCAGAAGCCGCTAAAGAAGTAAAGGCTGCAGCAAAACCAACAGCAGCCGCTGCTCCAAAAGCAGCAGCACCAGCTAAGGATGCTAAGAAGGCACCTGCGGCAGCACCTAAAAAAGATGCTAAAGCTGCTGCTCCAGCAAAAGATACAAAGAAGGCTGCTGCGCCAGCTGCAGCAAAACCAGCTGCCGCTCCTGCTGCTGCAAAGAAAGCTGAACCAGCAAAACCTGCCGCACCAGCTGCTGAGAAGAAGCCACATAAGGCTGTAGCCAAACCAGTAGCTCCTGCTAAACAAGAAAAGAAGAAGTCAGTAGTTGCCGCCGCTGCTGCTGCTACCGGTAAGGTTGGCAAGAAGCAAGTGTTGCGTGGCAAGGGATTGAAAAAGAAGAAGGTGCAACTCCGTTTTACTATTGACTGCAACCATATTGCTGAAGATAATATTATGGATGTCTCCGACTTCGTAAGTAGATTATTGCCACCACTGCCAGTTGCGGCATCTGGACTATGGTAATAAATTTAGTATATAAGATGTGCACAGCTTTTTTTTTTTGAGATTTTCTCTGACTATCATGTGCAGACGTGTTCTACACGAACAAAGTTATATAACTTAGCTATGCATAGATGACTGCAGTTTTTTGTTCATTTTTATTTTGAGGGGCTCTGGGCATAGCACAACGGGGTAGCCTCTGACTGTCAGTACCGGGTCTGGCCAGTGGTGCAACCGTCTGTGAACTTGCCAAGTCGTGCTAGTCTACCGCCAAGTGGTGGGCCCTGGGCTGAGCCGTGTACACCCGTGCATGGTCAGGCCAAAAGTCATAGCGCGCCCTGCTACAGTGTATTGCTTAATTCGCTGCAGGTTTCCAGATTTTTTATAGTTCATGGAAGCTGTGCAAATACTTTAGAGCAGAGGTAATTTTAATATAAATAAATTTATAATTTTATTTAGGATATTTTGTTTTGAAATAATTAGGATTGATTTATTTCTGTAGTTATGTGAATACTATGCCACAACCGATTTGTCGTTTGGGAGTGAATTTGCCGCCCTTACGACAGTGTACTCTGTGGCATAGCAACACTGCACTCTTCTTATTTTTAGTCATTTAATTTTTTTATGATTTTATGGCTTAACAAAGAAAGAGACATTTTATATTTTATATATTATTCCCTTTAATTATAGAATTTTATGTAGATAAAAATATATTTATTAAATGTTTAAATCTTCAGGAAAAATACATTAAAGGGCGCTTGAAGATAAACGGAAAAGTGAACAATTTAGGCAACAGCGTCACCTTTGAGTGCGAGAAAAATATTTTGGCTGTCAACTCAGATGTACACTTCTCCAAGGCCTACCTTAAATACTTAACTAAGAAATACTTGAAGAAGAACAGTCTTCGTGATTGGATCCGTGTCGTTGCTAGTGCTAAAGAAGCTTATGAGCTACGTTACTTCAGAATCAGTTCTAACGATGATGAAGATGAAGATGCTGAGTAAACATGAAATCCTTTATACATTTTATATGTTTTAAGCGAGTGAATTTTTTTACCATATGAAAAATGTGTGACAACTTTTACTCAAAGTAAAAATAAAATATAAAAAGAAACTCTGTCTTTAAATAAAATAAATATTGCCATTAAGCTTTTTCTTAATGAATAATAATCAGCTGACAGAATCTATAACACAATCATATATGTTGATCATATATATATATTGAAATTAAGACATCTTGGAAAGAATCCCGAAATGATCTTTTAATTTAAATAAGTTTTTCAGTAGGTTAAAACGAGAACTTGGAAGGCCAAGATGCAACTGAAATTATTGCGCCATTAATGAAGAAGATAAAAAACCAGAACTAGGCTTTTAAGTAAATAATAGATAGATAAATTTAACATGGTGTGGGAATCACTTTTTCAGCCCTTAAATCCTTATCTAGACTTATTTGTAGTGTAAACGTAAATAAATGCACTAAAGAATAATGTTAGCAAAGCTCGAGATTCGCTTAGATTTAATGGTCTCCTGTTATTGTAAAGAATCTTAATAATAGTGTGTATACTTACTTTGGCTTCAAGATGACTATTATTCCCAATTAAAGCTTTTTTACATAAAACTAATTTTAACACATTATTATGTGTTGAAAGTTGCCCCGTAACGGCAGTTTAATGCGGCTCTTGTAAGAATTTATAAAGAAAACCGGTTTTCAAAATCAGTAGACGAATGCCTGTTCTTGGTGTGCTATCTAGAATACAACCTCAATTTGGGAAGAGAAGATCCTTCCTGAATGAAACAAAATGATTGTTTTGTAGATGAAAAATATAACTTCTTGGAAATAAAATTTGAAACAATCGCATAATAAACAAAACTGTCCAAAATCAAACTGGTTTTCGTTACAATTGATATATCCACCATAAGTACTCTGCAATTGTCGATCTCAATTATATATATAATTGAAAAATTTTCTGATTAAGTTACAAACCAAACTGTTCAGCAACTTGTTTTCAAATCGTTTTTAGCGTTACGCTGGGCTGCAAGGTCTCTACATACTTATTTATTCATACTCTAGACATAATCCTTAACAATAGTTATTTTAATACAACACAGTATATAGTATTCGCTAACTAAAAAGCTAATCTTTTAGCGGATGCAGATGAAGTCGTATTGTTTTCTACTGACAACAACTTTAAACCTTAAATATAAAGGGTATTTTTTTTAAGGACTTGTACTATTTCAGTCGTACAATTAATTTTAACTAATTAATTAAAGTATGTTTTGTCATTTCAACATGAAAACACTTTAGTATGCTTGGGTGGAATTGGTTAAACATATATTTTTAAAGATACAGCCGATCGAAATGTGATGATTACTGGAGCGTGCTATAGGTCTATGATTAATGACTTTTTTTCTGTCAGGATATGTGAAGTCTCTGAGCTATTTAGATAAACCGAAGACATTGCATCACTTCGAAGCTAACATTTAACCTTAACTGCTCAAAAAATGGATATACAAATGGTGAGAATCGAATCAGTCGTGGCGCAAATATGTTTGAAATCAACAACAAAAAGGACAAAAGTTCGTGGTTATATCACACATTATACATTTTAGATCATTTCACACAAGATATAATGAATTTTTTTTCGATTATATATTATCATATATATTTTAAAACAGTTTTCAAAAACCCTTCTTAAATAAGTCTCTTTACGACATAGTGACACATAATTGGTACACAATTCTCTGTTCAGAAAAGAGAATTTACTTGTTATTTGTAAAAAAAAAAAACTAAAATAACAGCCTTTATATACGCATATTTATAATGCCCACTAATGATCTTTTTTCTATAACTACTAGAGTAGAGTTCGTGCAAATGGACTTTGTGTTGCAATTTCTCCGTTTTACAGTCCTGAAAAACTTTCGGTACTTATCATTTACTAACAAAAAATCGGACTGAATGCAAAACTTATGTAAAACTTTGCCTCTTAACTGTAGTAAATCTAAAAACATAGAAATATTTCTATGTTTTTGGTAAATCTATAACAACAGAACAACAGAAAAAATGAAAATGTAAAGTGCCAATTAACAGAACCAAAGAAAAGGAAAAGCAAATAAAACTACCAGCAAAAAAAAAACAAAAATTAATTTCTGCAAAACGTTAAATGTAATGTTAAAAAATTTATAAAGTTCTTTTGTTACTTCATTATTAGAGCGTTCACTGTTATTTTATCCACCCAATAAGTGATTGTTATCAACAAACAAAAACAGCTGATCGTAACCGACCGGAAAATAAAAAGACTTGTAAATAATGTTATTAGGCAAATAAATGTAATTAAGTTGAGATTATAAATAAAAAATGTACTGTTATTTATTAATATTGATTTCTGCTTGTATTCTTTTAATTGAAATTAATGCATTAAATATAAAAAATCCAACCACTGACTTACAAAGCTATGTGTTCGAAACTACTCCACAATTCGATGAAAAAACTTGCCCCAAAACAATAGCTGAGCTAAAGAATACAATTTATATACTTTACGATGTTAATCCACCAGAAGGATTTAATTTAAGACGTGATGTTTACATAAGACTGGCTGTATTTGTTCAAAAACTACAGAAGAAAAAATTATTCAATAATGTGCGTTTGGTACTACCACCGTGGCGACGACTGTTTCACTGGAAATCAAATCATTTAAGCCAAGACAATTTATTATGGAAACAATTTTTCAACATTGAAAGCATGCGACGTTATGCACCGATTTTAGATTTTGATGAATTTCTGCATGAAATTTCACTATTTGGTCTACCAGAAAGTCCATATGTGCCGGTACATAAAATATTTCAATTGATGCACTTTGAGGATATGTTCGAAGATGGTGCATTTCATGATAAATACGAGTTTACTGAATGCCGTAAAGAGCAATACCAACGCAGTTACTTATTACAACAATCTATATTATTGGATAATGATTTTCTATGCTTAAAGTTCCAAGGCAGTTCAAGTATGTTGGAACGAGTCTTACGACAAAGTATGGCTAGTAATGATACCACTAATAATGAACCAAAAGTTTATGCATTTCTAAATGCAGAAATAGTGCTACATGACTCGTGGGGAGATGTTGAGTTTTGGAAAGCGAGAAGATCTATGCGATTTGCACCTCAGTTACTTGAAATTGCTGATAAATTTCGTATGAAACACTTTCGCACCAACAATTCTATTGAAGAAGTACAACGGCCGCCGATGTGGGAATTCGAGAAAGAATATCGCTCAGCTTTGGGTGGCAGATATTTATGTGCGCATTTGCGTCGTGGTGATTTTGTATTTGGGCGAGAAAAAACAACACCCACTCTAAAATCGGTGGCAGTACAAATTAGAGATAAACTAAAATATCTTAATTTGACAACTGTTTTCTTAGCAACTGATGCCACAGCATTCGAAATGCAAAATCTCAAGTCCTATTTACAACGTGTACGTCCTGTACGGTACAGTACAGATTCTTTAGAACAAAAATCAATGCTCAAAGATGGTGGCATAGCAATAATCGATCAAATAATATGTAGCCATGCTGCTTATTTTATTGGTACATATGAAAGTACATTTACTTATCGTATATATGAGGAGCGGGAAATAATGGGTTTTCCCAAAATGAATACTTTTAATACTTTTTGCAAAAGTGAGGATCTAAGTGATTGTTCAAAAAATTCTGTATGGCCAATAGTTTACTAAAAAAATTCATAACTCAAAATTATTAAAATCATGAAAAGGTAAATTTCATAACTTTAAAAGTTGTGTTTTTTTATCATTTTTTATATATTTTTTGCAGGTTTTTCTTTACTGCTGCAACAATTATGGCTTTAAATCACCGCATTTCATCGTGATAATAATGTTTCACTATAAGGCAAACATAAAATTAGAAATGTTAAGTTTAGGAAATGAATTAATTTATATTTTGCCTAATACATAGAATTAATTGAAATATTTATTAATTGTATTTTATAGTCTGTGCTTTTTTTGGATTCATTTTTTTAGATATATTCATTAAGTATTTATATATATAATTTTTTTATAGTACTTTTATATATTTTAGTTTTTCTTTTAATATATTTAGAATTTTTTTAATATTTATCCATAAGTACAAGGGAACTGTGAAAAAGATTGTTAATACTCATAAAATTAATATTTAAAAAAACAATTATTTTTAATACTGAAATTTCGATGTTCTTCATAAGTTATTTTACTTTCATTTCATTAGCGAATATGTAAGATTATATATATTATTATTCTTTTTGAAATTTTTATAATGTAATGTATTTTGTAAATTTTTAAAATTAGTGTAATTTTTCTGAAATGCTGTTTTTATTATTCAACTTAATGTGAAAGCTTTAATATTGTAAAAATAAATTGTATGTTACTTAAGATATTGCCATAAATGGATTTAATATATTTTTTCTCTCGCAATAGTTTGTTTAATTATATTTTGCTCAAGTTAGTAGATTGTTTATTTTTATTTAAATATTGGTAATAAAAAAATTTGAATATTGGTCAGTAAAAGAAAACGATTTGTATAACATATCTTAGAAACTAATTCGAATGAAGAGTTTTAGAATGTTTTAATGACAACGATTATAATGGCAGAATAGGCTGAAGTTTAAATAATATGTTAATGAAATACATTGCAATAAAATTGAAGCAAATTATTATTAAGTATCATAATAAGTGTTCTGAGGGCTAAAAAATGACTGTAAAATACCTCGATATGTTGTGGGATGTGAGTATGGAAACTGTTTCATATACGTGTGAAACAAATATATATATAATATATATTTATATATATATAGTAGGCATTTTATATAAAATTTGTCAAGTTAATTGCGATAGTGTAAAAGTACGTTAAGCACTTGTGTTTTTGAAAATAGTTGTACATGTACGTGTCTATCAAACATGAGTACGTAAAATAATATATAATTCAGTGACAATCTTTAATGAGATTAAAAAGAATTAAACTATTTTTTTGTTTTACAATTGATAATTCATTTAAGAGTTGAATACGATTTTAAGTCCAACATTGGACAGAAAGCATTAATTTCTTAATATTTATGGATCTTTAAAGTTCAGTGTTTTTGACTAATAATTTCAACTGATTAAGGCTTAAGTGAGCAATCTAAAGGCATCAAAGTGATATAAATTTAATTAAAGATATGGAAGAAGTACATATATAACGTCCATCAAGGTTCTCTATCGTCTCCTTGAAGAATTTTGCTTTGAAATCTAAAAATTCAGTTTTGCTCTTTGTGAATGATACTTCCATTATACATGCTGACAAGAATGTAATTTACAACTTCATAGTGACAAGGTAATGGAATACTTATGAAGATGGACAATTCGAATAAATGTTAAAAAAATGAAAACTATTTTCATTACTAAACGTTAAAATTGAAATCTAAGAAAAATAAAAGTCAATAGTATAGGAAGATAATACAAAATACAATGGTGTAATTTTTTACAGAAGATATACTTGGCTAGAGAACATAAGGGTCGAAAAACTGGCTTGTAATATAACTCTGAATGATTTGAATGAAATAAAACACTGCTTTATAAGTAATTAGACCTAAACTACTTTATGGCTGTGTTTCTTATAGCAACGCTGCTTCATCCACCATTAGAAAAGTTCAAACTTATTAAAATATTATATTGAAAAGCATCTTGGTATATTAAAAATGAAAATATAACCAAGGACCGTAAAATCGAGAGTATACAATAATGCAGCAACGACAATATAAATATAATATGAAATAATATATATAAAAGTAAAAATGAACACTACCGTGTTGCACAGCGTCATTACCTGAAAGAGATAGTTAAGCAGGAAACCATCATAATCGTTTTATTCATATAGGATGCTAAAATAATTTGTCATTAATTGTAAGCTAAATATCAGAACTTTGGGGTTACGGAAACCCAGTGAAAACTAAAAAACTCGTTTAGAGAATACACGTCCACACGTTAATGGAACTAAAGCTTTATTAGTATGTTTGTTAATTGGATCGCAGCGACCTGGATATGAAGACTTGGTTATTTTGTTGTCAATCAGTTCTACTTAATATAACTATTGTATTATCTTGATCATAAGAAATTTATTTTAAATGTTTTTGCTTCTATATAGACATATTATATGTCTATACAATTAATTTGTGTTAAAATACTGACAAATATTTCCTTTTTTTAAAATTTCCCAAATTGCTTATAAATTGGTGTTTGGCAGCCCTGCTTATTTTTTATTGTACAAATGTCACATAGAAAATCCCAATTATTACTAAAAGACTAGCAATCAGTTGCAAATATATTGAATCGTAATTTCCGTATTTTAATTAAATCAATTTATTTTAAACTTATTCTATTTTAAAGGATATAGATGTGTGTTGAAGACAATTTTCGATGCGGTCAAGTGCAAGCGGTTGGAGGGCAAGTGAAATAAGCAGATAAAAGAAAAAAGATTTAATACATATAAAAAAAACTCCACTACCACCTCCCTTTTCAATAAGGTCAGCAAAAAATATCGATAGCCGTCATCATTAAATAATTAATCATGCCTCAATCAAGACAAGTTGCTGCTGAGGTTGTTGCTAATGCAGCTGGTTCACAGCCATTGGTTAAAATTGGACATTATTTGCTTGGCGCCACCCTTGGCACGGGCACCTTTGGCAAGGTCAAAATTGGAGAACATCAAATGACAAAACATAAAGTAGCTGTTAAAATTCTTAATCGACAAAAAATAAAATCACTTGATGTCGTTGGAAAAATTCGTCGCGAAATACAAAACTTGAAATTGTTTCGTCATCCACATATTATAAAATTATATCAGGTAAATGAGTGCATCTATTTAACGTAGAAAAAGTAGAAAAACAGATATATATTTTTATGTTTTTTCATTGCAGGTAATCTCTACACCAACAGATATATTTATGATTATGGAGTATGTAAGTGGTGGTGAATTATTTGATTATATTGTCAAACACGGCAAATTGCAAGAACATGAGGCACGTCGATTTTTTCAACAAATAATATCAGGTGTCGATTATTGCCATCGACACATGGTTGTGCATCGTGATTTAAAACCAGAGAATTTGTTACTTGATCATAATATGCACGTAAAAATAGCTGATTTTGGGCTATCTAATATGATGTTAGATGGTGAATTTTTACGCACTTCATGTGGATCACCAAATTATGCTGCACCTGAAGTTATATCTGGCAAATTATATGCTGGCCCTGAAGTAGATATATGGTCATGTGGCGTGATATTGTATGCGTTGTTGTGTGGTACTTTGCCATTCGATGATGAACATGTACCAACACTATTCCGAAAAATTAAGTCTGGTATATTTCCAATTCCGGAATATTTAAATAAACAAGTTGTAAATTTGGTCTGTCAAATGTTGCAAGTTGATCCCTTAAAACGTGCTAATATGGAAGAAATTAAGAAGCACGAATGGTTCCAAAAAGATTTGCCTACTTATCTATTTCCATCATCTGTAGAGCAAGATTCTAATGTTATTGATACTTATGCTGTTGATGAAGTATGCACAAAATTCGCTGTTAAAGATGCTGAAGTTCATAATGCGCTTTTAAGTGGTGATCCACATGATCAGCTAGCTATTGCCTACCATCTAATTATAGATAATAAACGATTTGCAGATGAAGCGGCTAAAACAGATATTAACAATTTCTTCGTAGCAGGTTCTCCACCACCGGTGGCTCATTCACCAATTGATCGTAGTGCTGAGGTAGCTGTAAGCGTAGCAGGACCTAATACAGTTCCAACAGTAACAGCATCAAGTGCACCTTTATCAAGTTTGCGACCACATCCGGAACGTATTGCACCTATGCGTGAACGACAATTGGCAATGTCTGTACAATGTTCAGGCGGTGCAGCTTTTCCAGAAAAAGCAGCACGTGGAACACCAATCAAACGTGCTAAATGGCATCTTGGTATAAGATCACAAAGTAAACCAAATGATATAATGTTAGAAGTATACCGTGCAATGAAAGCACTTGATTATGAATGGAAAATTATAAATCCATATCATGTACGTGTACGACGCCAAAATACAAAAACGGGCAAATATTCTAAAATGTCACTGCAATTGTATCAAGTTGATGCTAAAAGTTATTTGCTGGATTTTAAATCTCTGACTAATGAAGAAGTTGAACAAGGTGATGATGTTATAATGGAAAGCTTGACACCACCACCGTTGAGTCAGGCTGGTTCAATGCCACAACAACCAACTGGACATCATACAATGGAGTTTTTTGAAATGTGTGCTGCTTTAATTATACAACTTGCACGTTAATTTCTATATTTAAAAAAATCTAATTAAATTTTTAGTTGTTATAGATTTTGCATATATGCAGTTTTTAAGTTTTCGCTATCATTTATTCCTTTTAAAAGAATCTATAACTGATTCAGAATTGAACTTTTGGAATGGTTTAAATACAATATATATTTTTTTATAGTAAATAATGATATAAGGAAGAAATTGTGCAATGGCTTTATTTTTTCTTGTTTTATTTTTATAAAAATTACTTTGTTTTTATGTATATCTTTTAAAGAAATCTTGTATTACAAGAATTAAAAATGTGTTTAGTTTGTAGTAATGTTTCATCATAATTGTTTTTCAAATTAATACATTAAACTATGTTATAAATATATTTTAAAAATAAAAATGTTTGAAAAGAATTTTAAATAATATTTTATCGCAGTTTCCAATATTGCCAATATTCACATAAGAAAAGACACATGCTTAAACATTTATTGCATTAGTTTATAGAAGTTTAGTTTTCTTGAGCAGCGCCGGGTTTTTTACGTCTAAGTTTCTCAATTAAAGAATCTATACTATTTGCATCTACCAATCCAATAAATTTATCCACAACGACACCATTTCGAAAAGCTAACACAGCGGGTACGGCTTTAACCTCAAATGTTTCCACTAAATCTGTATTGGAGTCCACGTCAATGATGGCTAAATCGATTTCGTTCGAATTTTCCAATAATTCTGTCATTTTTGGTGTAAGTATTTTGCAGGGATCGCACCATTCAGCATGAAAATTTACAATTACTGGATTATCGCTATTAATCACCTGTGTAAACAAAAAAATATTGTATTATACATTAGAAGCGAAAAGAAAAACAATTGAAGCAGACAAGGCAATTTGTATGCAAAATTTTTTGAACGTTGCTCTGTAGTGTAAATGAACGTGCGTACGTGACTAAAACACGGAAAAATTTGCTTATATGGAATATTTATAGTTAATATGCATAAATAAAAAAACTAATATTACAAAATGTGTTCTTCTTTATTGTCAGAAAACATTTTTTAATATGTTTTAATACATGTAAGCAAATTTTTATAAAATTTCTTGCATAACAATGGCATTGTTGAGATGTATTCAATTTATCTATAATACTACAATAACTAGCATCTACCTTCTGATCAAATTCGTAGTGATCCTTTATGATGTATTGTTTCTGATGTTGTTGACTTTGTGATAAATTTTTTTGTGTTGTAGCTCTTGTTGTTGCCGTAGGTAAATTTGAAGATATGCAAGTGATAAGTCTGGATTTAACATTCTCCGCAGCTAGTTTCAACATTTTTTATGTTTTTTAAATTAGTACGAATGCTTGCTATAAGTACCTTTAATAAAATAATTTAGATAAGATTATATTATACAAAACGTGAAAATTAATCTTATTTTTTATGAATTTAATATTTGCATTTTGTTGTTAAAACTGAAGTTGCCTGTTATCGTTAAGACACAAAAACAATTGAGATAAGAAAGAATAAAACCATTAAAATTATATAAAAACGCCTCAACATAAATGCATAAGAAAACAAAAAAAAAATTTAATTTCATATTATATTTACCTGTTGGCTTCTGTCACCAAGCAACTTTAACAAAGAAACAAGTTTAAAAAACACTTTTAGCAATAAATTTGCATAAATTCTGATTATGAGTATATCACATTCACAAAATTTATCTTAAATATGTTTTCAAATCATTTATTTACACTATATCTTAGTTTTGTTTTCCAAAAAACATATGTTTGTATGAAATCATTTTTTTTGGAATAGATTTTTATGCGTCACAATGTCTGAAGAACGTCACGTCAGTGAATTTCTTTTGTGAGCAAAAAGTGAGAATTGGTAAGAAACTCACTAACATGTTTTATTTATATTTTGGACTATACGCATCAAACACATGTATAACAATATCGAAAAAGCTACCAATGGGAAATTAACACTATTGTATTTAACTTATTTTCAGATTTAACTCGATATTCGAGTAACGTTGAGTTCCACGATGAATGCACGATGAAACTGTATGCCATTTTCCATTTTTAATATAATTACATCGAAATAACACAATTATTTGATAACAGTCTTCAATTATATTTATTTATATCTATAATATTATAAAATATAGTTTTAAATTTTTGAAAAATTTTCACACTAATTATTATCATATAATATAATTAATACACACATGCAAAAATTAAATGAGTATACCCAAATTAATATAGAATTCAAATATTAGTGAGGAGGGAATTGAGTTGAATTCAAAAAAATTGATTATAATTGTTATATCCTAAGAATTAACGATTCTTCACCGCATCTATTTATTAAAGCATATTGTTTATAAGTTTTTTTTCTTCTTTTTACTTCTTTTTTCTTCTTCTTTCTTCTTTTTCTTTCTTTAAAATTATAAACACAGAATATACATAGTTGCATATAAAGGTTATAAAAATACACTATCATATATAAAGCATAAAATGAATACACAAGTTAAGTTCCATTTTGAATCGATGGTTTATAAAGCTACATATATAATTTTTAACAATATTAACAAAATGAATACAGTTCATGTGCATTATAAGATCATATATTACAAGATATAGATTTTTAATTTGAACTTTTGTTATATGAATATTTATTATTAAATTTTACTAATTATTAAATTGTATTATTATTATTAAATTTTATTAAAATTAAGTAGATACATGTTACCATAAATTTCGTTAATTTAATATTTTTATTCATTTATTTATACAATTAATTTTATTTTTGTTGAGTTACCATTTTTTTGTATTTTATGTTAAAATGATAATATATAATCAAGACATTAACGTAATATTCCACACATATAGGTATACATAATGTAGAAGCAATAATTTAAAGTTAAATTTGTAATTTTTCTTAGTAGAAAAAATATTCTTTAAATATTATGTTAAATGTACAATTAAAATAATCTTTTTAAAACTCTAAAATTAAATATTTTGTTCATATAAACATTATGAAGTCTATTATGAATGTGTTTTTAGATTATTTAGATTATTATGTAATAACACACCATAATAATAATTAAATATGTGGGCAGTTATCAATTAAAAACAATATAAATGAATAATGTATGAAGAAGTTGTTTTTTGTTATAACATTTCTATAAACAGTTGAAAATTGATATGTGATTTAATATAATAAAATGATATATATTGATTTTCTTTATTTTTATACTTGCTACAATTCGTTTACAAAAAAATGTATCAATATAAGAAAGTAGGTAACAATATAAGACAATGTTAAATATAAATATCTATATATATTAATATATATGTTAGTACATTTTAATTTCAAATATATATATATTTATATATATTAATTATAAATATTTTTGTATTAATAAATTTTAGAACTGAAAATGTCATTAAAAATTTTTAATGTATGCATGCATACTTCTAAATTTTTCATAATTCAATGAGCCGTGTTTCTAATCTAATTAATCTATGGGCGGCTCTAACAAATGTGTGTTAACAACTAGGCTAGTCCGTGTTGTGTTGTTAAATCGTTTGTGCGGTGGTGGAATTTGCTATTATTTTCGTTGTGTTTAATAATTTCTTAAATAATTTAAGAATTATACTTAAATATAAAAGTGAAAATATTAATTTTGTGATATATTTGTTTGTTTTAAATTTGAATGCAATGTGTATTAAATGAATAAAGAAAGTAGAATGTAAAAGAGAATTTAGTACCAACGTCAGCAAAAGTGAAAGAAAAGCTTAGAAATCCGTTCCCCTACGTATTATTTAGGTGCGCTCGTGTGTAAATGTGTGTGTTTTGTTTGTTTTTTAAATAACAGAAATTTTATAAAAATTATATATATTAATCAACATTATTGAATAGTGAATAAAATTTCTTATTCCAATATAATAATTGTGTGTGCTTAAAGCTTATACAATGTATTATTTGAAGTCGATATTATTTTCTTTTGTTATTCAAATTTGTTTGTCGGGCATTTCGATTGCGCAGTCGCAAAAGGAAAGTGAATCATTCCTAAACCCCCCACCGCATTATCTTAGTAATGATGAAATCGGTACTTTATTTTCGAAGTTACATAAAGATTATCCAAAATTAGCTCACAAATATGCGATTGGCAAAACGTTAGATGGTCGCGATATGCATGCTTTAATGTTAACCGGCGGTACAGATAAAATCGGTACGAAGGGTGAATCGCGCGATCTTCTACGTCCAATGATTAAAGTGTTAGCAAATATACATGGCGATGAAACTCTCGGTCGACAAATGGTTATATTTCTTGCACAATATTTAACTGAAAACTATAATAACATTCCGGAAGTACAACAATTGCTTAACACAACAGAAATACATTTACTTCCCAGTTGTAATCCAGATGGGTTTGCAGCAGCAAAGGTAAGTGCTAATTATTTTCTATAATAACTTTTATAAAAATAAATTTTTGTTATAATTAAATTCAACGATAGTTCAACGATCATTTCAATAAATAAACCAATGTTTTAATTATCTTCTAACTTACCCATGGAATTACCCATGATTCATATAAATTGATTATTTTTGCAGTAAATAAAGGAAATATGATCTATAAAAATAAAATTAAAAAAACCTCATTAGTGAGATAAGAATGTACATATACATATAAATTAATATATATATATATATGAATGCATTGTGTATGAATGCATTACCCCTCGTTAAAAGAGTTTAAAAAATGAATATGGTACAATCATATTATTATTTATTGTTAACGAATTCTAAAACAAATTAGAGCTTAATTTTTAATTTTTATTAGAAAATATTTTTTTTCGTACTTGCCTAATAAAAACTATGTGAATAACTGTTATACTTAATAAAATTCAATTATAGAGCTGGTATATTTTTTTTATTTCTATTTTCAGTAGTTGTAAAGCATCTAAAGTTTTAATGTGAAACTTTAAGTGACTGAAATCATTTCTAAAGAAATGTTAAAATATTATATTCAGTGGTCCATAAAGGGGAAATTACCGAAGTTTTTTCCCACGCCTATGAGCTTAATATTCAGCAAGCCAAAGTTCTTTAAGCCCGAGAGTATGGTTAATGTATAGAGAATAGTGAGGAATCAGGGAGATGGTGTTGAAATTAAAAGAAAGCTAGCTTAAAATTAAGAGTAGACTCTATGGACGGTTAATTAATTCCAGTTGGACAGTGGAATGGAATCACAGCATAGGAAAATATACATATATATGAATATATACATACATATATACAGGGAATATTTAAAAAAGATGAAGAATCTAATCACAATTATTATATTAGTGCTTTAACTTAGCGGCAAACATCAAACTATTGTCATTAGTAGTAAGAAATAGTTTAAACGGAAAGCCCATTACTTAACCTTATAAATCAATCTATAAATTAGAATTTCAGTTTAAGCATATATAGTATTGTTGTTTACTCATATGTAATTACAATATTCAACACAGTTTTTTATACTGTGAAACATTTATTCACTGTTATATGGTATATAAAGAAAAGACAACGTATTTGCAAGCTCAACTTTTGTTTAAAATATTTAACTTACAGATACTACATACATACCGACGCACAGATTTATTAAAGAAGACTAAGTAGATCCTGTTGTGATGCCGATATTGATTATTAATATTTTTTTCATGTAATTTATTACACTATGTCTAATTATATGCCAAAATATTTATTCAGAATACATAATATTTTAATCTCCCACACTAAATTTTAGTGGGTAGCGGAATATGTTACCTTCTCTAGGCTTTCACTTGGATAGTAGACTAACTTAGCGTAAGGACATAGAAACCAAAAGGCTCTAATAAAACTATAAGCATTTAATCTACGCTGGCTACTAAACAGCCAATCTTTAATCTACAGGGCAAGCTCTCTTATATAATACGGATCTAACTAATCGGCAATGCAACTTTATCAAGCATTAAAAGGTCGCAAAGAGCACCTTGGCATATCGATAACATTCATAAATATCGATAATATCACTGATGAAATATGATTTCGAAAAAATTAGTGTAAAATAGATTGAAAAGGGTATGCACATATATCTAGTCAGAACACTTGTCAATATCAAGAGTCATTTTTGCCTAAAAAAATTATTTTGATCATTAATAAGTCAATAGTCGAAATTCGATTTCAAAAATATTTTATCTATTTTGTTATTTTCAATTAATCTTGAACTTTTTAAGTTAGGTCAGTAATGTTAGAAATACTTATTAAATTAAGCATTTTATACAATTTGTGATGTATTTGATTTTTATTCAAAAATTAAAATTTAAAATTGTAAACTTTAAAAAAAAATTATTAGAATTTTACCACTCATCTCTTTGAGTATCGGACAGTATCTCGAACAGAGAATATTTCCAGGTTCATTTAAATTATATTTTGTACGTAATGCTTCCTTTTGTTTATAGTTATTATAAGTTCAGTTAAATATTTTTTAGCTATTAAAATTTAATATTTATGGTGTAAGTCTATGAGAGAATATTGATTTCAATCAACTTTTACATAAATTCTTGTAATAATGTGGACGCTCACATAAAGAAATATATACCATTGTTAATATTTTATACTATATATCAATTTAATTTTTGGAATATAAAACTTTATCCTGTGAATTATTGTATATACTAGTTTAAGCACTACTGTAAAAAATAAATTTGTAAATATATTTTCTAAGACATACATATATTTACAGTAATATAAAAAAGCAGTAGCTCTGAAATTTTGATAAAAAATATTCAATCAATTTTCTTGTTATTGCTATCTTTACCATACATCAAG